GCTACCACAACAAGCTAGCAGGTTTGTCCTCTAAAGAGGGAGTACTCACAATCCCCTAGGCAATGTATGGAGCCCCATGTTGGACGCCAAAATTGTTAGAAATACTGGGTACTGCAAGAAATCAAACACATGCTCAGAAGTACCTTGGCAAAATGTTCTCTCTGATAAGTGGATGCTGGTGCATAATGGCGGGGGTGGGGGATGGGAAAAATGGAGGAACTTTGATGGGGCAAAGGGGAGGTAGGGGTGGGGGGAAATGGAGGTAGGAAAGATGGTGGAATGAGATGGACATTATTACCCTAGGTACAATGTATGACTGCACATATGGTATGACCAGCTACATATTATACAACCATAGAAATGTACAGTTGTGCTGCAATTGTATACAATGAAATCAAAATGCATTCTGCTGTCATATATACCTAATTAAAAAAGAAGAAGAACAACAACAACAACAACCTTGGCAAGGCAAACACCTTCTGCAGAAGGTGTGCTACTAAACAAAGTCTGAAAGGAAGTACACTTTGGTGGACAGTCCACCTATTTTTATCCCTAAGGCAGCACTGTCCCATGCTCTGATAGGAAGAGCTTGGGGTAACAATCTATGCAATGGGCTAATTTTAAAATTGGGGAGGGCAAAGGGGTATAGTTAACATGACTATGATTGTGAGAGCAGGACAATGAACAGATAGCTGCAAAGGACAGGTACCAAGAAAAAGTTAATGAGTAGATAGCACTCCCCATCATCTGGTTGCTAACAACCTCTGGGGAAGGTGAAGGATCACGTTTTCCAGCACAAGCAATCACTCCCCAGATAACTCTCTTCCTGCCCTTTTGGTCACGTAGGCAGGATGTGAGGAGGAAGCATGAGGAGAAAGGAAACCTGAAATCTATAAAAGGGGCAAGACACCCCTACTTCCTTGGGCACCAGCTCTGGACTCTCTCCTTTCTGGAGGAATCTCTCTCTCTCTCTCTCTCTCTCTCTCTCTCTCTCTCTCTCTCTTATCCTTTACACAAAACTTTTTGCTCTTGCCTTAGCATTTCTCAGGTGTTTAATCGTCAGTGTGTGTGTGTGTGTGTGTGTGTGTGTTGTGGGAGGGGTGGGAGGGGGGTTAAGGACCTTATCCTGATTTTCAAGACCAGTTTCAATTGGATGTTACATCCCAGTTAAGGCTAAATACTATATTCTGAAAATGGACCACCAGAATTTCTGTTTCTCACAGAAGATAACATGACATATAACACAAGATAACCAATTGACACTGATTAAAAAAAAAAAGTGCTTGACTTCAGTAGAAATCACAGAAATACAATTAATGCCTCACTGAGATTCATCAAAATAACTGAAATTAAAAAGATCATCATCAGAGTTTTCAAGGATGTAGGCTGAGGATGTAGATCAATTATAGAGCGCTTGCCTAGCACTGCTGTTATAGGACAGACAAAGCTGGACATCTAGGAATTAGCAGGAAGCAGGTTTATTGGCTGTAGCCAGGTCCAGAGATGGCTTTTGCCTAAACCAGTTTGTCTCTCTGAACCCTGAGTTCAGAAATGCTTAGAACTTTATACCCAGTGTGTAGGGGAAGAAAGAGCTCAGAGGCTCACAATCTGCAGAAGTCCACATAAAAGTAGTTTTTTCCTACTATTCTGGGCAATCAACCCAGGCTTGGAAAATAAATCAAGGACACCCTCTGTAAAAACCAGTGCCTAGGAAAGGAAGAGGTTCCACCCCCCCCCACACACACACACACACTACCACCAAGCTGGTTTCCAAGGAACCTGATTTGTACCATTTACTCCTATCTTGTGGACTGTAAAGTTAGATCCCTAGGATCTAACTTCTATCCTTTGAAATGCAAATGCCTTTGTGAAAGCTCCTGGCTGGACTAGACTGCCTTATCACAGTCTACTGCAAACACACTTCCCACCTGAAAACTTTTTTTGCAGAAATTTTTGCAGAAATTCTTGCTGATAGTCTAAGAATAGATTTGGTGAGGGTCCCTAGAGAAGCTTAATTAAGATTTTTCTGTGGAGGAGGGAGTGCCACTACAGTGCAAGGCCCTGGGTTCAATCCCCATTGAACCCCACCTCCCCAAAAAAGTTAAAAAATAGTTTGCAAGGATGTGCAGTATCTAGACCTCTTATATATTGCTATAGGAGTTGGAACTATTACAATCTCTTCAGAAAATATGTGGGCAACTGAAGTGGCACCCCCTTTCTCCACAGAAAAGTCTTAACTGAGCTTCTCTAGAAATCTTCACCATGTCTGATTTTAGGAATGTCAGCAAAAGAGTCTATGCAAAAGAGTTCAATGTAGATAAACTTCCTATTTTCATGTCGCCCAGTTTTACTTGGCCATTGGCAGGGAAGATACCAGAACTCCAGGTGCTGGACACCCCCTTACTAGTTTTTCACAAATATATCCAGTATAGTTGTTTGTAGAAATGTGCAAACAAGGCCTCTGGCCTTGAGCTGGGACTTCACAAAGATGTCTACATTTTAAAGGTAAGTTACCAACTGAGCTCCATGGTAACAATGGGCAGGGGGAGGAAAGAAAGGGGAGAAGAAGCTCTCCCTTTCTTAGATGTTGTCCTTGAAGGGTTGACTTGCCCAAAACAGTGGGGGAAAAAAAAAGCTGCTTTTATGTGAACTTCTGAGCCCCTCCCCTTACATGCTGGGTATAAAACTCTGAAACTACCTGAACTCAGGGTTCAGGAGATTAATTGATTACAGCAAAAGCTGTGCCCTCTGAGCCTGGCTGCAGCCAAATAAAACTGTTTCCTGCTATCTTCAGTGCCTTGCCTCGTCTGTCCCTACAATACAACATCTACTGAAGCTGAGCTTACACATGCCCTGTGACTCAGCAATTCTGTCAACAGGTTTATGCCCAATGTGAAAGAGGGGGCAAGAGATTTGACTCCTTGTTCTGCTCCACTAAAAACTCAGGAGGCAGTTTTGGCAAGGGGGAAAAAAAAGCTGGCTTCAAGAAATATAAAAGAGACTTTTTCCTTTTTCAATTCTCTGTCTTATCAGACTCAGGGGTACAGTGGGACAAAAGGCAGGAAACATACATGTATAGATTTAGCTAGGAAATGTGTCACTCTCTCAGGTTCCCAGGTGCCCCTTAAGGCCAGCCTCCCTCAACATCCATTCTCAGTATGAGGAAGTTCAGAAGTTAAAACAATTTGGAGATTTTAATTTCAAAGGGGGGCTATGTTTCAATAGACTTATGTGTATATTAAGCAATAAAATTGTTTAAGTACATAAACAAAATAAATACCAATTTGGGATAGTAGTTATTTCTCAGACAGAAGGTGAAAAATGATAGGAAAGAGACTAGGGAGGAGTACTTAAAGGGTTTAACTTGATCTGAAATACTAATTTCTTTAATCTTATTTATTTATTTATCCATTTTTCTATAGTTCTGGGGATTGAACCCAGGGGCACTTTACCACTGAGCTACATCACCAACACTTTTTATTTTTTTGTTTGAGCAGGGTCTCGATAAGTTTATGAGGGGCTTTCTCAATTGCTTAGGCTGGCCTGGAACTTGCCCCCCTCTTGCCTCGGCCTGTGGAGTTGCTGGGGCTACAGACAAAGGCCAAAGCTCCTAGCTTCGCTAATTTCTTTAAAAGAGAATTTAAATACAAATTGCAGAATCACATCGGTTACACATCCACATTTTTACATAATGCTATATTAGTAACTGTTGTATTCTGCTACCTTTCCTATCCTTTACTATACCCCCTCCCCTCTCCTCCCATCTTCTCTCTCTACCCCATCTGCTGTAAAATGGGAGTTCATAACCCACTTGAATCTAATGTATGAAATATGATATGTCAAGAGCTTTGTAATGTTTTGAACAACCAATAAAAAAAAAAAGAGTAGTGTTCAATCTCAAAAAAATAAATAAATAAATAAATAAAAGAGAATTTAAAGTTGGGCTGGGGATGTGGCTCAAGCGGTAGCGTGCACGCCTGGCATGCGTGCGGCCCAGGTTCGATTCTCAGCACCACATACAAACAAAGATGTTGTGTCCGCTGAAAACTAAAAAATAAATATTAAAAAAATTCTCTCTCTCTCTCCTCTATCTTAAAAAAAAAAAGAATTTAAAGCAAATGTGATAAAATACTAAGATCTGGGCTGGGGCTATAACTCAGTGGCAGAACACTAGTCTGGCATATGTGAGGCACTGGGCTTGATCCTTAGCACTGCATAAACAAAATAAAAGCATTCTGTCCATCTATAACTACAAAAAAATTAAAAGAAGTTTAAAAACTAAGATTTGATAAATCTGTGATAAATTTTTTTTTCTTGTTTTTTTTAAATTTTAGTATTCTTTATAATTTTTTGTGGTTGTTGTTTTTGCAAAATGGCTGTAGCTGGCCTCAAATTTGGGACCCTTCTGCCATAGCCTCCCACATCACTAGGATTATAGGTGGGCACTACAATGCTTGGCTATTCTTTTTTGTTTTAATATTTATTTTTTAGTTGTAGTTAGACACGATACCTTTATTTTATTTATTTTTATGTGGTGCCAAGGATCAAACCCAGGGCCTGGCACATGCTAGGTGAGTACTCTACTGATGAGCCATAACCCCAGCCCCTCGGCTATTCTTTATAACTTTCTGTATGCCTAGTATATTTCTTCTCCTTCTTCTTATTCTTCTCTGGATATGGTGGCAACTTGTCTATAATCCCTGAGATTAGGGAGGCTGAGGCAGGAGGATTGAAAATTCAAGACCAGCCTGAGCAATTTAGCAAGTCCCTGTTTCAAAATAAAATATAAAGGGCTGGGGATGTAGCTCAATGGTAGAGCCTTTGCCTAGCACATATGAGACCCTGGGTGGTTCAATTCCAAGTGCCACACATAGAAAGAAAGAAAGGAAGGGAGGAGGAAGGAAAGAAAGGAAGGAAGGAAGGAAAGAAGAAGGAAGGAAGAAAGAAATTGATTATGTGTCAATTACAATTTTGAAAATATTATGAAAAAGAAATTGTGCTGGGCCAGATGGTGCATGTTTGTAATTCTAGCAACTCAACAGGATGAGGCAGGAGGATTAAAGTTCAAGATCAGCTTCAGCAATTTAGCAAGACCCTGTATCAAAATAGAAAAAATAAAAAAGGTTAGGGAATGTAGCCCAGTGGTAAAGCACCCCTAGGTTTGATCCCCAGTACCACCACCAAAAAAAAAAAAAAAAAAAAGTGCGGCTTATGTTATAAATATATATTTGAATATACAAGATTACTAATTAAAAGAGATTTTTAAAAACTACACCCTTAAATTTTTGTTCCAAAATAAAAAAGATTGCAACACAAAGTATATTGTCTGTGTTTCCAAATATACCATATATACACCACAGATACTGGCACTTTACCTCTATGATGTGACATGATGTGATGATGTAATAAAAGTAATACTTTTACCTTTGTGGTCTCCACAAAACTCATAACCCCAGTCTAATTGATATGGAACAGACAGATCTGAGTGGTGGGAACATGAAGTTAAGTGAATAATTCTATAAAATGAGCCTACTGTGCTGACATCCCCATGCTTTCTTTTCCAAGAAGCAATTTATCTGCAGCTCTGCCTGGTTTAAGTGAACAGGATATGGCACATTCCTCAGCAAACTACTTGTTATCTGTAAGAGAAATACAGGCCTGAAATAATGTCTATAAGGGGGCTGGGGTTGTGGCTCAGTGATAGATCACTTGCCTCACATTTGTGCGGCATTTGGTTCGATTCTCAGCATCACATATAAATAAATGAATAAAATAAAGGTTCATCAACGACAACAAAAAAATTAAAGGACTAAAAAAAAAAAAACCTAATGTCTATAAGAACACAAGTTACCCTAAAGGGTGGAGGGGGAGTTTTATGACCCTTTCACAGACCAAACACCTGAATTCAGAGAGATAAGGATAATTCCTCCCCTACGAACAGGTTCCAATTAGAACCAGTCAGCATAAACCAAAGTGACCTAGAAAGGTCATGGCAGTAGGGACTTAAAAGTGTGATGTCATCTTGCTGTCAGTCAAAAATCAAGAGGTGAACCTGTGTGGGAGTGTCTGGAAACTTCTTGGGACCCTCAAAAAACTGGAGGGCAGGAGAGGCACTTTGTTCCTCTCCTCTCTCAGAGAATCCACACTCATCCTTGAAAGTGTACCCCTTTCCCCTTTCCTATCCCTTCTAATAAACATATGACTTACTCTGAGCAATATGTTTGACATCTTTCTGATTTGATCCAAAGAATTACAGGTTGAAGTGGGGGCCTTTGCACTGCCTCAGTTTCTGAGAAGGTCCCAGCTCTGTAACATAATCATGAGAAAAACAGACAAATGCCCATTGAAGGACCATCTACAAAATTCTTGACCAGTACTCATCAAAATTCTCAAGGTCATCAAAACCAAGGAAGTCTGAGAGACTGTGACTAAGGAGACATGATAGCCACATACTGTAATGTTTGCTAGCCTGGGTGGGATCCTGGCAAAGAAAAAGGACATACAGTAAAAATAAAGGAAATTCTTTTTTTTTTAACCACTGAGCCATATCCCCAGGTCTTTTTTTATACATATATTTTTAATTTTAGAGACAGGGTCTTGCTGAGTTGCTTAGAGCTTCACTAAGCTACTCAGGCTGGTTTTGAACTCAATATCCTCCTGACTTAGCCTCCCAAGCCATGGGATTACAGGCCTGTGCCACTGTACCCAGCAAAACAAAGGAAATTTTAATAAAATATAGACTTAAAGGTAATACTATTTAGAAGAAGAAAAATATATTTTGGCTCACAGTTTCAGAGGGTTAGTTCATGTCCTTGACTACCTTGTTCTAGGCCCAAGATGAGGCAGAAAGGCTTAATGGTGGAGCACTGCTCTATTCATGATGGCCAGGAAGCAGAGAAGGCGCTGCAAGGAATATGAACCCTTCCACCACATGCTACCAACGACCCACCTCCTCCACCTGGCTACAGTTAGCACCCAGTTGATCTATTCAAACTGGGATGAACTGAAAAGGTTACAGCTCTCACAATTCAGTCATTTCACCTAAGAACATTCCTGCATTAATACTGAGCTTCCAGGGAGATCCCTAATATCCAAACCATAACAGTTGCTGAGGGGCTCACTAAAGTTATTCAGGCTTCCATAGAACTTGTGATCTTTCTGCCTCCAGCCTCCAGAGTCACTGTTATTAGAGTAGTGCACAACCGCACTCGGCTTGGTTCATTAATTATGACAAATGAACCTATAATAGGGGAAATTGAATTGGAGTGTATATGGAAACTCTATGCTTTCTTCACAAATTTTCTGTAAATCTAAAATTGTTCTAAAATTTAGAGTTTATTAAAAAAAATTTAATCTACCCACAAGCAAATACCCAAAGTTCGGAAAGCAACACAGGTGATTTCAAACCCTATGCTTTTTTCACACATAAAACCCTTCCAGCTTTATCTATAGATAACGTTCTGTCTAAACAAAAAATTCCTTAAGGGCAGAGAAATGCCTTTTTCTTTCTTTTTTGCGCCTGGCACACTATTGACGCTTAGACCAGCAGTTTAAGTTAAATACTCATAGAAAGTCACAGAACCAAAAGAATCTGAGACTTTCAGAACCTCAGAACTTGAGTAGGTTGGATCCCGACCCTCTTCCCGGTTGGCTCCTTCAAGAAGCCCCAAATCTGCTGTCTAGGCTGTTTTGCAAGAGTCCTGTGCTGCCATCTATCGGTGTCTGGGAAGCGTCTCGCTATCTTGCTATAACTAGGTAGGCGAGAAGAGGACTTAAGGGCTAATTAAACTTCAGAACATCTGTAATAGTCACAAACTTCACTCAACACCTGTACAAGGGGAAACACCCACTTTCCCTAGCAATTGCAGACCCCCCTAACCCTGTATTAATACTTATACTTGTAAAACCCACAGATCTCCTTTACCTCAACAGATAAAGATCTGACCCTTAGCTCCCCTGCAAGAAACTAGGTCCGCCCGCACATCGCAGGCTTCAGAAGCCTGAAACTCCACCACCGATTCCCCTATTTTCACAGACCCCGGAAATTTCTTACATTACCATGCATACTGACCTATCCCATTCGGGGAAACGCACTTGCTAACCCAGACATCCCTACAAAAAGTTTCAAATTTCGCAGGCTGCTCACGCCAGCAAGAAAGCTCGAGAGAGTCCAAGCAGGTCTCGGAGCCCTCAGGTTTGCGCTTTGTCCCGGGTTCCGGGTCCCCAACCCCGTCTGGGTCGAGTCAGCTAGGGCTTGCAGCCGGCTGACCAAAGCCCCGCCCCTCTAGACCTGTCATCACAGAAGCCGCACGTGGCTGGGGTGGGAACTCAGGCGACCTGCAGCCATCACTTTGTCTCCTTCGTCATCCATTGGGGCCTCCGCCGCCAATCAGAGGCAGCGGATCCGGGCTGGAGCCTGAGCGCCTGGGTGAGGCCAGAGAAAGAAGGGGCGGGCGAAGAATGCCTCAGAGATCGGTGGGGGCTGGTGGTGGAAGGGGTCTGGCGGGGATTCTGCCAGGCTGGACTACTCTGAGAGGGAGGGTCTCGGTGAAAGGCGGAGAGACTAAAAGGAGGCGGAATCAGGGTGGGGCCTGGGGAAAGCGGAGGATCCTGGGGAAATGCAAAGAAGACGAGAAGGGGGAGGGGCCATGGAGGGCGGGGCCTGGGTTACAGGGGAGGAGCCTGAGGGATTAAAGAAACGAGGAAAGGGGACAAGCCCTGGGAAGGTGGGAGCTGGGACAAGGGAGAGGGTGGGCCGGCCTGTTGTGGGGGCGGAGCTCTGGCCAAAGTGGGGAGGTTTGCAGGCCGAGGCTGCAGCTAGAGCTGCTCAATAACTGCCCCAATCTATTACCTCCTCAAGTGCAACGGGACCCACGGAACTACAGGTGTGGGGCGGGGTACGCGAGAAAGAAGAGACAAGGACGAGGGTGCGCTTGACCAGACAGGAGGTGGGCGGGGGGCACCGTTAGGGATGAAGAGAATCTGGAGATTGCGTGGTGGTTGGACGCGGAGTTAGGGGAGCAGTTAAGGCAAGGAGGCATTATCCAGGGACCCATGTGGGGGAAGGGCTAGAGTGCTTTGTGGAGGTGGGAAGCACAACGTTAGGAGGCGAGGTCGCTGTCTGATGTGGAGGGTTAGTGGGGATACATGAGGGGGAGGGGATTTGGAAGACCTTTAGGGGAAGAGGACTGGTGATGAAGAAGGACTGGTGGTCCAGAGTGTGGAAGGGTCTGAGGGGACTATGTGGAGGAAGAGGGGATGCGTCTGGGAGCACTGTGTGAGGAGAAGGGTTGTAGGCCCAGTCGAGACGGGAGAACCACGACAGGAGAACCACTGGTACTTTAACAGTCTAAGGCATTGTAGGGACTTCAGGAAGACACTTGTGTTTTGTGTTCTAGGGGTGAGGGTGATGGATTTAGTTGGGGTTGAAGAAACTAGTTTGTAGTGCTCCTGGCTGCTTAATTCCTATCTTATGGCCTGGGTACTAGAGAAGCAGCCAGATCCGGCTGCCACCAGGTCTTATGTGACTGTCTTCTTAGTCTATCTTGGATCTGTGGGGCTGAGACAGGGATTTCTTCCCCTAGCTGATGTCCCCCGGAGACCCTTCCCCCATGGGGTTTCTGTCAACCCCCAACCCTTGTTCCTGTTCCTCCCAGAAGCCTGCCTTGGTCTCTATCCCCCCTCCCCCACTTTGCCCTGCCCTTAAGCTCTTGGGTGTGCTCATTTCCCACTTCCTTCCTCACCCTGGGGCCTGCCCTGGTCCTTGCCCGTCTAGGATCTTTGCCCTGCCTGGGACTTTGTACTCCATGACCAGAGACCACAGTAACCAGCAACAAGGTTCAGATCCCATCCCACTACTACCACCAAGGTCTCTGCCAACTGATTTACAAGTGACTGGTAGCCACATTTTACTGCTTGTCAGTAACTGATTTTCCCCATCCTTGTCCTTCCTCTGGGGTGGGGAATCCTAGGGCCCTCAGGAATTCTGGGCTTCTCTGGGAGGGAGGGAAGAAGTAAGGAGTACTGAGGATCTTTGATTTGTCTTTTCAGGGGTAGGCTGCTATTGTAAGCCTAACCTTGGAAGGGATGTGAGGTTCCAGCCTCAGCTAGGGGAGGAAAAGGGAGTGGCTCCCCATACTCTTGGATTGGAAATTGTCAGAAGTAGGACCTAGTCCTCTTGATGCGGGGTTGGGGGAGCTCCTCTGCTTCCTTATGGGGGACTTGAAATAATGCCAGAGGTCTTTTTGCTTCTGCTGGCTGGGAGAGGGTGGGAAAGGGCTGCTTTCCACACCGTGACTGAATGAGTGTGACAGTATTGCTGAAAGGGGCCCTAAGCCAGTCTTCCATACAACCACCCAGTAGCTGAGAGACTGGCTGGGGCGGGGGGCTGCTGAGGCCAGACAAAGCTGTGGGTAGGGTGGGGTAAAGGAGGGCAAACTGAAGCCTTTTGAAGAGGAACTGATTGCTATGGCAACACTGCTTCCCAGACAGTCTCTCAGAGAGGGCGGGCCTAGGGTAGACTCACTCTAGCTTCCTCAGGACTGGGGCATTTTGTGTGAGTGGGTGGGGCGTGAAGAGAAAGGGCATCAGTTTGCTGCTGAGGCTGGAGTACACAGCCTTTCTGCTTTGGTGAAAGCTGCAGGGCATTCAGATAATTGGGTTCATCCTCTGAAGTGGACATGAGTGAACAACAGTCATTAGAATTATAAGGCCAGAGTTGTAAAGGCCTTCAGTGGTCATTGTTTATACAAATCCCTCATTTTACAGAGTTGGAAATTTATGGCCAAAGAGACTGATTTCCCAGGTCTCATAGTGAAAGAAAAGAAGTTAGAATCCATATCTGATTATTATTCACCAGCCCTGCACACATTGTTTTTCTTTGCCAATGTTTATTGAAGACCTATTAAGTCTCAGGCTCTGAGATGTTGACCCTGAGAATATGACCATGGACAAAAGACAGATAAGCTTGCTGTTCTTGTGGAGCTTTCATCTAATAAAGGAAAAGAAAAATCGGTATATGTTTGTGAGAAAGGACATAGGTCAGTTTGTGATAACTGCTAATTAAAAGGAAAAAGAAAGGCAAGGTAAATTTTAGGACATAAGACCTCTTGATTCTACCATGCCATGTTTCCCAGAGCATACAGAGGCCTAGAACATCTTTGATACTTCTCCATGAGTTACTGTTCCCTGGCCTTTGTAGGGTATGTAAGGCCAGGCCAAATGGTAGTGGCAATGAGGTAGAACAAGATGGGGTTGCTGAGGGATTATTCCTTTACTACACTGTTCTGTATCTCTACCTGTCTTCCCAGTAAGGTTTTACTCTGCAATTTTGGTCAGGGTGTTAAGAATTTCTTTAATCCTATTCCTTAATATTAGGGAACCAGCCAGCAAGGAAGTCAGTCTAGGGGAATTAGGTTCTTTTTCAGGGCTTTCCCCTCATCTGAGGTAAGGAGAAGGGAGCCTAAAAGAACTGTCACTTGCTTGCCCCCCTAAGTCTAAAGCAAAAAGAGCAAATAGGGAAGGACAGCTTCTTTTTACTGTCTGGCGACAACCTGATGGTCTTGGGTAGCTCACAATAAAGTAGAAACAAGAACCTAAGGCTTTTCGTTGCCTCTCAACTGTAGAATAATGGACTTTACTTCTTTTGGCTTTTATGTTTGCCTCCTACTTCTGTGGATGACAGAAGAATCCTGACTGATTTCTGATAACCTGTATGACTTCCTGATAAGTACAGAGGGTGAGCTAGACAGAGCTATCCATTTTCTTAGGTTGCTTCTAGAAAAGGTCCTCTAAAAAGTCTTTGAACACCCAATTCTTGCAGAGGTTTCCATCCTGGTCATTTAAAGAATAGGAGGACAGGGTTAGAGATGCTTTTTCTGTTGCCACTTTACTTAGCTAGATCTGGGATAGGGCCTGAGGCCCAGTGACTCAAGGGGAGGATTGGGAGTTTCGAGGGAGCTGTGAGTCATGAGGATAAGCTCCATCACAAGAGTTGGGCTCATTTCCTTAGCTCTGGGCAGAAGCCCTCCTATCCTGCTTCCTAATGTGCTCTGCTCTTTGAATATGGACTTGTGAGCAAAAAGTGCTGGCAACTGGGATGGGGCAGCCTGATCTCGGATTAGGAGTTCAGAGACACGAAGAATAATACCTAGGTTCCTGAAATTAAAATTTACCCTTAAATCAGGAGTCCTTGGACCCCTCTAACAAAGGCAAAGGAACATAAATTAGCTGTAGGAAAAGGATGAATACCATTTCTCAGCACGGTGAAGATAGGGTATTAAATTAGATCTTCTGCTCTGGCATCAAGCTTCCTGGGCTCCAGCAGTCCTATGGCTTTGAGCTCTGGTTTGGAATGTGGGGAGAGTAGAATGGGAATGGGTATATTTGGGGGTAGGGTCTGGTGTAAGAAGAGCAGGCTGATTTGGGGGGTTGTTGAATTGCGTATGTGAAAGCGCTGTGACTTTCTGTTAATCAGTCTCGGAACAGGAAGGATGGGGGAGGAGGGTTGAGAAGTGTGAGGCCTGCACCTTTGAAAGGGTTAAATGGCAGGACAGGAGTTGCTTTGGCAGCTGAGGAGTTAAGGAGATGGGCGGGGCGACCTTGGGTAGGCCTGCCCCCTTGTGGACCAATAGGCGTGCACCTACAGTAGAGGGCGTGACTTACACTCAGGATCGCAGGGAGGCTGGCCTCCTATAAGCCAATGAGCATGGTTGCTGCTCAGGGGGCGTGGTCTTAGGGGGGCGTGGCGGCAGCGGCGGGGGTGGTGGGGCGCTGGGCGGGGCGGGCGGCCCCATCAGCTGGTAGGAAATGGCCTGTGAGTCAGAGGGGCAGCGGAGTCGGCGGCGCGGAGCCGGGGTGGCCCCGGGGAGGGATCTGCGCGGGGAGGGGCGCAACAGCGGCTGGGGGGCTGCGGGCGCGAGGGTCCGCTAGTATTGCACACGAAGCTGATTAGGAAGAGCCTCGCAGAGCAGGGCTCAGCCTGAGCTACCCTTTGTCTGGGTTGGGGGCCCGTGGCAGGGAGGACCGAGGATCGAGGGGTGGGACCGAGACAGGACGGAAGGGCCCGGAGCAGCGGCCACCGCAGCGGAGCCAATTTGGGAGCGGGGTGAGTGTGTGCTAAGGGGAAAGAGCAAATCTCCGAAGCCACAGTAGGTTATGGGGCCTGTCCCAGGGTATGGGGAGGAAAGGACCTGGGAGACTAAGCAAGGGGAGGGGAATCGTCCAGAAGCTGAGGTGAGTCTGCTTGGCTTAGTTTGGAAGGGTTACTGAGATCTGCTCCCTCTCCTCTAGGGGTGAAGGGCTCTAGGCTGGGGCCAGGGGGTTGGTGAGAAAGCAGAGGTTGACCTTTCTACCCACAGTGGTGGTCTGTAAGAACAACCTCCCAAGCTTGTAGAGATAAAATATAAAATAGCCAGAAGTAGTTCTCTTTACAAAGGATGAGGGTGGAAAGCACATAGGTAGGAATTTTCCTTCCTGTCACCCTCCTTAGAGCAGAAGTGGGTATCTTTAACACTGAAGGGAAGGAAGGGGAGAATTAATCTAGGAGCTCTACCTATATCAATACCCACCTCTGTCACCTCCCTGGCCTAGCAGGTGTTTGAGGGTACAGATCCCATGGTATTCTGGGACTTGTTTTTTTCTGTTTTGCTCCCTTGGCATGTTGGGAGCTGTAGTCCTTGCTAGCCACAGCCTGGCCCAGCTGTTTGATGCCAGCTGCTGCCCACCCCACGATGGAGGGTGAGGTTTGGCCTACCCTGCCCTGCCCCCCTGCAGTCCTGCCCCATGAGTCAGCTTGAAGCAATGGTCTAGAGCCAGACTGGCTGGGTGGCAGGAGAGTGAATCTTCCAGCTTCTCATTGATGGGACAGGAACTGCAAGGGCTCTGGGGTAATGAGCAGATGCCAGGCATGCTAGGGTCAAGTAGGGCATCATGTCATTACCTGGCTTCCCCAGGGCAAGGGCTCAGGCAGGCAACTGGGTGACATGGGATGTGAGGGTGCTAAGGAAAAGACCCTTTCTGAACCTGTATGGCTTGGATGAAGAAATGGATGGGTAGAGATGAGAGTGCACATTGTATCCTCTGACAACACTGCCACTGGTGTTCCACCCTTTCCAGCCATACCACCCACCACAAGGGACCAGAATTTTCTTAGGTATTTCAGTTCTAATGAGGACTTGATGAGATGGGAAAGTGTAGGATGCAATGATGAGAATAATTTGAAAAGGAAAGGTTTTCAATCCCTGAGTGCAAATATCCCTTCTCTCCCCACCTCCCACCCCCCACTTCTGTTGTTGCTGATTCTTCCTATACAATTAATCTCTCTGCTTTTCTCATCAGGAAGTTTTCCCCCTGCACTGTCAGGATTGCTGCCCAAATCTCTGGGGCTAGCATTCCACTTTTTGAGTTCTGTCATGTGCTTTCCTCTGTGTTTAGAGATGAGTAAGATAGTGGGGCACAGACATGTCTTCAGGAATCCTGTGGCTGGTCTAGAAGATGCTCATATTTACATGAGGTAGTGACACTCCCATAGGTGAGGTCTCAGATGAGGAAGATTATGGTCTGGGGTAAAGAACAGACTTTCTGTTGTACTTTATTTATTTATTTTAGAGTGCTGGAAACTGAACCCAAGGCCTCATGCATAGTAGGCAAGTGCTATATCTCTGAGCTACATGCCCAGTCCCAGAGCTGATTTTGTGGAAGGGTTGGCATTTGAAGGAGGAAGAATATGGCTAGGATAGGCATACAAAGGGCCCACCTTGAAGGAGAAAGGGCATTGTAGATGGCAGGCAGCAAAAGCTTGCCCAAGGGAGAAAGCTGACCCTGGGGGCTTTCAGCTTGACAATTTTTTTACCCTAGTATAGGCACCTGAGTGTACACTAGTCCATGAAGACAATCATGCGCCCTGGCAGAAAAGCAGTGGTTTGGGTATAGGTGTTTTTAGGTATGTGAACCCTGGGGGAGGGGCATGGAGATACTTCTAGTTGCTTCCAGCTGACTGCCTGCTGCTGCCTTATCTCTAGTTCACAGAGCCTAGGGGGAGGGGCAGGCCCTGGGAAGTGTCTTCTGGTGTCCCTTCCTCCCCTGCCACTTGTTTTTGATTGGATTTGTTGTCTCTTGTTAAAAAGAGATTGCTGGGGGAGATTGGGAGTTCAAGGCTATTGGGCTGGCTTTGAGCTGACCTGAGGTTTGTGCCTCTGAGGAGAGTGTAATGGGGTGTGACAGTCTACAAGAACTCTGCCCTTAGCACTGTGGGGTGCCACTTGTCCTTTTTCATATAGACATATGGGAAAGAGTTGTGCAATTCCACAGCCTTGAGTAAGAGAGCTGAATTATTTCCCTGCCCACCCGCTAGCTGACATGATCTCTTGGATCTTGCGGGTATTTCATCCCCCCTCCAATTCAGGGCAGGAGTCCCCAAGATGGTGGCCCTGACAAATAGTTCATTTTGCCTCATTTCTTAACTTCCTTTTTACATTGAACCAAGACCTACCTTTCTGTGACTCCTCAGGTAGCTCAGCTCTACAGCCTGGGTGCTGGATCTGGAGCTTACTTCTGAAGTGCTCATGGTGTGGGAGAATGGTATCCTGGAGTATACTCTATTAGCCCACAATCAGGGAGGGCCCTTACTACTGACTCCACAGATCCTGGTTTATGTCTGTTCTTTCATCAGGGTCCAGCTGAACCCAGGAGCTGCCCGGAATGGTGGCAGTCACCTTGCCAGTGCAGCAGGCATGGACCAGACTGCAAGCTAGGGGAACAAGGCATCAGTCTGGAAGAGGGGACACACATCTAGGCTTGAGGCCCCTTCATCGGGGTAAGTGCCAGAAAGTGGGAGTGGGGAGCAGGTGCAGTAAGAAACTTGAGCTAAATAATGTCATCCTCTCAGAAGTTTTAAGAGTGGCCTCTGTATTCCATTAATCCATCTGGGGATTTGGATACCTTCATCCCCAGGAATTTCTCAAGGTCACCTCTTCAGGTTAAGGGAAGGTCTGAAACTCGGCTGGAAAGAGAAGACTCATTAATTTCCCTGATCTTTTCTTCTCTTCTCTTGCACAGATGTCCCCAGGCCCCCCAACCCAGGCCCAGCATAAAGGCCGTGTGGGGGGGCCCCCCTGACCCAAGGGGGGCTTCATGCGCCACGTGCAGGCGGAGCCGTCTCCATCCTCAGAGCCAGAGGCTGGCCCTTCACAGCCTCCAGTCAGACAGGGGACCCTCCAGGGTGGCCTGCTCATGGGCTACAGCCCAGCAGGGGGGGCAGCATCCCCCGGGGTCTACCAGGTATCCATCTTTTCCCCTCCAGCTGGTGCCTCTGAGCCTCACAGGGCTCTGAAGCGGCCGGCCCCACCTACTGAGGGTCCCCGGGAGCTGAAGAGAGGCCCTGGGCTGGGGGCCAGAGAGGGATTACCCCCTGAAGAACCATCTACTGTGGGGCTATTGGCCCCAGAGGGACTGGGTCTGGGACTGGGTGTGGCCAGCCAGCATTTCTCCCATCATGGCCTCTGTGTTGTGGAACAGGGAGGTAATGCCACCTCACCTTGGACTTCAGGGGCCCGAAGACCCCCCTGGCTCCCATCAAATGCTTCCTGCAATACTTTGCACACCAGAGACTGGGCTTCCCCAGATCCAGGGGGACAGGGGTCCCTGGGGGAGTCTCCAGGGCCAGCCCCTTCAGGCCAGCTGCACACACTTGACACTGATTTGCACAGTCTTGCACAAATAGGGGGTAAGAGCCCAGTGGCTGGGGTGGGCAACGGGGGAAGCCCCTGGCCTAGGGAGTCCCCTGGCACTGCCAATGGGCACAGTCCCGAGCACACACCCCCTGGCCCTGGACCTCCAGGCCCCTGCCCTACCAAGCGAAGGCTGCTTCCTGCTGGAGAAGCCCTGGATGTCAGCTCTGAGGATGAGGGGCCAGCCCCTCGGAGGCGCCGGGGAACCCTGGGCCACCCTCCTGCTGCCAACTGTTCTGATGCCAAAGCCACACCCTTCTGGAGCCACCTGCTGCCCGGGCCCAAGGAGCCTGTTTTGGTAAGACTGTAGAGGAGCTCATCTACTACTAAGAGGATATTTGTGTGATTAATGGTGGAGGCCTGTGGAGATGTTCCTCTGAGAGCTTGTGATGAGCTCCTCTCCACCACTTTTCTCAATGTTTTCTCTCAATAGGACTCAAGAGACTGCAGTCCCGTGGGGCGGAGGCTGAAAAGTGCCCGTCGCCTGAAGCTGTAAGTGACCAGCTTCTCCCTCTACCCTATCTGTGAGAATTGGCACAAAAGTCTGTAATCTTCTTTCTAACACTAGAGTAGGGGACCCCAGAGCAGGAACCACTTGATAGTGGCAAAGGGTGGAGCCGAAGGATATGAGCAGGAATCCCAGAATTCCTCAAGCCAACCCATTGTGTCCCCTCCCCTACCAGGAGCTCCCTTCGAAGCCTCCGGAAGGGACCAGGCCTGCTGAGCTCCCTCAGTGCCTCCCCTGTTCCTACCCCTGCTGTCAGCCGTACCCTGCTGGGCAACTTTGAGGTAGCTCCCCCTGGGCTTTGTGATTGGGGGGTCCTGGGAGGAGTGGGATAGTGGAATGTGGCTTGGATGGATAAGGAAAATAATGGCATCTGTCTCATAATGTGTTTTCCCCACTCTAACACCAGGAATCATTGTTGCGAGGACGCTTTGCACCATCTGGCCACATTGAGGGCTTCACAGCAGAGATTGGAGCTAGTGGGTCCTACTGTCCCCAGCATGTCACGCTGCCTGTCACTGTCACCTTCTTTGATGTTTCTGAGCAAAATGCCCCGGCCCCCTTCCTGGTATGACTTGACCTTACACCAAAGTTAGCACTTCAGAAGGAGGAGGGATTGGGGACTAGGGCAGGGGCCGAAAGGTATTCCTTAGATGTTCTTCACCTAAAAGTAAGTCAGGGCTAGTGTGGCAGCAAGTCCAGAATGAGATTTTGGAGAGACTGGTATTCAGGGCTTTACTGGTCCCCAATTTGGTTGATGGATCTTTGGTTTTCCTAGGGTGTCGTGGACCTGAATCCCCTGGGGAGGAAGGGTTACAGCGTGCCCAAGGTGGGCACCATTCAAGTGGTGAGTGTCCTCTGAGGGATTGGGCATGGGGAAAGAAGAAAACAGCCCTTAGGCTATACCAACTTTGAATATCCTGCCCCCAGACCTTATTTAACCCCAACCAGACTGTGGTGAAGATGTTCCTTGTGACCTTTGACTTCTCGGACATGCCTGCTGCCCACATGACCTTCTTGCGCCATCGCCTCTTTTTGGTGCCTGTGGGTGAGGAGGGAAATGCTAGTCCCACCCACCGCCTCCTCTGCTACTTGCTGCACCTCAGGTAAGGACAGGATCCAGGTATCCCTTCCGTGAATAAAAGAATCTTTCCTGGCTTCTCTAGTTCTGGATTCTTACCTTGATCACACTGTCTTTCCCTAGGTTCCGGAGCTCCCGCTCAGGCCGATTAAGCCTACATGGAGATATCCGCCTGCTTTTTTCCCGACGGAGCCTGGAGCTGGACACAGGGCTCCCCTATGAACTGCAGGCCGTAACTGAGGCCCCCCACAATCCACGTTATTCTCCTTTTCCCTGATTGCCAGTGCTCTGAACCTAGGTGGGCCAAAGGCCTGCCCATCCTGCTCCATCCTGGACAGAGTAAACACGTGGAGAAATGGCGAAAACCCCTTAGGATTGAATTAAAGTCCTCACCACGCTCATGCCCAAATTGATTATTTGGGTATTTAAAGCTTCTGATCCTTCCACACCCTGCCCTACTCCCGGTACTCCATGTGCCTGTTCCCTCCCTTGGGTTTCCCAGGCCAGCTTAGGTAGTACAGAGGAACCAGAGCTACCCTGAGATTGTCCCAAGTCCCCAGGCAAGTCATGCCAGCGTTGCCTCCCTGTCCTGGGCAGGGGCCACTTCTTATTTTATTTATTTTTAATTTATAATTTATTCAAATTGGATTGCCTTGGTAACCTCCCAAACCTGATAATTGGCATCACCCTTCCTCCTTTCTCACTCTCAAATATTGCTCCAAACTCAGGAGTTGAAGAGGCTGAAGTGTGGGGGCAGGGAGAAAACTGCTCTTCCTCAGCTGAGGACAGAGGGATTGTCCCAGAGGGACTGAGTCACTAGCCAAAGACTCAGCTTCCTCTGTCCTTCCCTGTTACCTTCCCTTCCCCTACCCTTCAATCCATCTTTGAAAGCCAACTTATGTGAGTGTGTGTGTGTGTGTGTGTGTGTGTGAGAGCAAGCACAAGCTTGTGTTTGTGATATTTGTGAGAAAGAGTGTGCATGCATGCACACACACAGGGGTTAACCACCCCTCACCTAGGGCTCCAGACTCAGTTGTCCCTTTCCTCTTGCCTATATCTCCTTACTTTGGGTCCTGACTGAGGAAGGTGTCTGGGGACAGAGTCAGGGCCAAGGACTGGGATGTCTCCTCTCGCCTGGCCAGATTCTGACCCACCTACCTCAGCTGGGATAAGGGGCATCCCTCAAACTCAGTTATGTGGCTCCCAACTACCCTGTTCCCCACTCCAGACTCAGACCCAGCCTCAGCCCTTGACTCCTGGGACATGACTGAGGGGAACAAGCATTTGCTGAAACTTGAAAAAAACAAAAACAAAATGAAACAAACAAACAACAACAACAACAAAAAAAAAAAAAAACAGGAAAAATTGTACCTGGTACTTTTTTTTTTTTATTTTAGGAAAATAAATTTTAAAAATAATAAATTCTTGTTTGGAAACTTGAACTAAGCTCTATTTTTTTTTTTCTGTTGGAGAGAGGATGTAAAGGGTGATGGAGGGCCTAACTGAAGCTGTGACCCTGCCCTTTCTTCTGGAGTGGAGGAAGCCTGAGCCCATGAAGTCTTGGGCTAAGTCCTGCTGATTCTTGGGGCATGATTTTGCTTTTTTTATTCAGGTAATGAGGGTGCTGGGGGAGAGCTGAACTCTATACTGGTTTTGTTAATGATTTTAGCTCCTCAGAACTTCAGTGCCCTAGGAGGATGACAATTATACAGGTTTCTTAAAAAGAGAGTCATAGCATCAGGGATTTGTGCACGGTGACGTGCTTTAGACGAGGTTGAAGCTTGATGCTGTTTGCTGGACTCTATGGGAGGACCAGGCCTGACAGACTTCTACTGGGAAGAAGTGGAAAGAGCTGTGGTACCTCGGGAAAAGAGGGGAGGGTAAATCTCCGCTTAATCGACGAGCGAAGTTAGGCCCTATTACCATGGCAACGGGAATGGGGTCAGTCCCCAGTGGGAGAGCTGGGCACAATACAGCAGGCCTACCACAGAATGTCACTGTGGCAACCATGGCAACGAGTCAGTTCCAATTCAGCAGTCGCTATGGTAACACACGGGCGTGATTATACACTTTAGAGGGTAAATTGAGTATCAGGTAGGGCTAAAGAACTCGGTAGTAGGTGTTTCTGGGTCACCTGCGAGAGGAAAATAGACTCCACTTCGGCCTCGATGCCTCGGATTTTGGACGCCAACTACCAGAACCAGAACAAACCAGCCTCCGGCCCTCTGCGTTTCCCCGGGAACAACTTAAACACGCTCTTCCAAGGAACTCCGATTGGGTGAGTGTGGAGTGGGGGAAGAGACGGCGGAAGTACATCCGGGGGAGTGGAACTGCTGAAGGAAAGCCTCGGGTGAGGGCTTCTGGCGCGGCCTCTCTGCTCCGCGTCTCGTTGGTTCCGGAGGTCGCCGCGGCTGTGGGAAATGCTGGCGCGCGCGGCGCGGGGCAGTGGAGCCCTTTTGCTGAGGGTGAGAATGAGACAACCTTCTCCAGAGGGTCGGGACAGAGATCACCTGGGTCCTCAGCTAGGAAGGAGAGGGATTCCAATTTTGGGAGAGGACTGGGGTCAGAGGTCATGGGCCCCACGTGAGTCATTCTCCGAGAACCCTTGTGAGTCGAGGTTTAGGGCGATGCCTTCGGGACAGAGGGGCATGGTGCTGGGCCGGCGGGGGTCTCAGCTTACTCTTGTCTTTCCTTCAGAGCGCTGTGCAGGCTTCTCCCTGTCCTCCGCGCCGCGCCTCCTCAGGATTGCCGCGAAACACAGTAGTACTGTTTGTGCCGCAGCAGGAGGCCTGGGTGGTGGAGCGAATGGGCCGATTCCACCGGATCTTGGAGCCAGTGAGAACTTTTTGCGCACCTCGGGGCAGCCTGATGCCCGGATCCCTTGAATGTGGGAGTGATACCTCCTTGGGGCCTGTCTGCACCTTTGGCTCTGAACTCTTGGGACCAATCCTAGCAGGGCCCAGGCTACTGACTTGCATCCCATGTTACCACCTTTTCCTATTACCTAGCATCCTTTAGGTCCATTCTTGCTACTACCTACTCTCTCAGCCCCACCTGTCCTGACTAGAGATAGCTATTCTCCTGGCTCCCATTCCCTACCTTTCTCTTCATTCAGAGGCCTAATCGTGCATTCGGGTGCTATTAGGTTACTTTACCAGTGACATCCCAGGCTTCTGAGGACACCTCTTGGCAGGGGCTACTGCACATGTTTACTCCCTACTTACTCCAGTCCTAGCTTAAATTCCAACTGCATTACCCCCATCCTTCTGAGGATCCATGACTCCTCTTCCCAGGGCTTGAACATCCTCATCCCTGTGTTAGACCGGATCCGATATGTGCAGAGTCTCAAGGAAATTGTCATCAACGTGCCTGAGCAGTCGGCTGTGACTCTTGGTGAGGGTACAGGGTGACACGGGTGCACTGAGATCATTAGGATGTGGTTGCTACATAGATCCAGAACTTAGGAGAAAGAGCTGATTGGGACCTACGGCTGTGACCTTCATTTTCTCTCCTGCTTCTATTCCTGCAGACAATGTAACTCTGCAGATTGATGGAGTCCTTTACCTACGCATCATGGACCCTTACAAGGTATTTGCCTCCTGCTTTATCCAGCCTTCTGAATTGCCCTCCTCACTAAAATCCTGTACCAAAGCTTTTTACACTTTTCATTCTCCTTTAGGCAAGTTATGGTGTGGAGGACCCTGAGTATGCTGTCACCCAGCTAGCTCAGACGACCATGAGATCAGAGCTTGGCAAACTTTCTCTGGACAAAGTCTTCCGGGTACGTGGATCTGAAGCAAAGTTGGGGTTTGAAGCATGTGCTTGGCACTGTCAGTCCTTTCTGGGAAACAAGATCAGACCCAGGCCCTTATTATCTTAGCTCCCTGGTAGGTAGGTTAAAGCTGTGGAGCTTACATCTTTTTCCCTCTAGGAGCGGGAGTCCCTAAATGCCAACATTGTGGATGCCATCAACCAGGCTGCTGATTGCTGGGGCATCCGTTGCCTCCGTTATGAGATCAAGGATATCCATGTGCCACCCCGGGTGAAAGAGTCCATGCAAATGCAGGTAGGGAAGAGGACCTTGGTAATCCAGTCCCAGAGGGACTTAGAGTATCTTCCCTACTGGCATGAGTATAGTTGGAGGTCTTAGTAAGGGTTTCCCCTGGTTTGTTGATAAGGGTTGCTGGGGGCTTCCAGGTGGAGGCAGAGCGGAGGAAACGGGCCACAGTTCTAGAGTCTGAAGGAACCCGAGAGTCGGCCATCAATGTGGCAGAGGGAAAGAAACAGGCTCAGATCCTGGCCTCTGAAGCAGAAAAGGCTGAACAAATAAATCAGGCAGCAGGTGAGCAGAGGGTAGAGGCTGAGGAAGGAGGAGGGCATGGGTCTTTGAGAGTTGGTACTGGGACAGGAACTTTGGGGTACTCTGATTTTATGGGTTAAGCTCTCTATCTTTTCTTCCAGGAGAAGCTAGTGCAGTTCTGGCCAAGGCCAAGGCTAAGGCTGAAGCTATTCGCATCCTGGCCGCAGCTTTGACACAACATGTGAGAAATCCTCAGTTAGGAGTGGGGAACAGGAATTGACAATGGAGGGGGTTCTCCCATCCACTTTTGAGAGAAGTTCCTGCCATTCGGGGTCCTACTGAGCCAGATTACATAAGCGCTTGTATTATGACTTGCATACCCTCTTTCTTGAAACCTCACCTCCTTTCTCTTCCAATATCCCCTTCTCTAAATCTGTGATCCCTGATTTTATTCTCCTGTGGCTACAGAATGGAGATGCAGCAGCTTCACTGACTGTGGCAGAGCAATATGTCACTGCGTTCTCCAAACTGGCCAAGGACTCCAACACTATCCTACTGCCTTCCAATCCTGGCGATGTTACCAGTATGGTGGCTCAGGTTAGAGCTCTCTGAAGACCCCAGGGGCACAGAACCCCAGTCCTGGGGGCCGAAACCCTCACTATCATCAGCACCACTTAACACATCATGGAGATCTTCAGGTTGCCTTGGCCCTTGATTTCTCTTCATTCCTTATAGAGAAGGAATCTCTAAGAATGAGACACTTTCACTCACTCCTGCAGATAAGGAAACTCTCAAGATACCTTTCTGTAGATACCTATGCTAGTGTTCTGAGGGTCACCCTGCTCTGATAGTTAGTGAGATTCCTAGAGCTGACTTTAAATCCTTAAAGTCTAAGGGTTGAGGGGAGGGGAGAAAGAAAATCCAAGCTCACTAGTCCCAGCCACACCTTTTTCCTTTTAGCCATTGGTAGGTTCGGCTATACCTTCCACCATTTGTCTTTATGGCTTTTTCTCTTTCCCTCTTCTCAGGCCATGGGTGTATATGGAGCCCTCACCAAAGCCCCAGTGCCAGGGGCCCAGAATTCGGTTTCCACCAGGAGTGGCAGAGATGTCCATGGCACGGATGCAAATCTTGATGAAGAACTTGATCAAGTCAAACTGAGTTAGTGGAATTGGCCTTGGCCAGGGAGTCTGGGGACAGAAGCAGCACTATTAGTTTCTGGCTTTAGTCTCCCTGCCAAGATTTTGGGTTTTATTTTTTTAATTTGAACTTATTAATCATGTAATAAACTCACTAGTGGTACACCAGAAACTGTCCTCTTTGATTGGTAATGAAGTTGGGAAACCCACTGTTGTTTTTCACCCTCTAGTCCTGTCAGCTCTTGGGAACTCATGCTTCCATGAGCAAGAATGAATTTCATGTAAAGTGGAATCTGCCTTTCTGTCTTCAAGAGAAACTGGGCCAGGTGCAGTGGCACACTCTTGTGATCCCAGGAACTTGGGAGCTGAGGCAGAAGGATCCCAAGTTCAAGGCCAGCCTAGGCAATTTAGACCTTATCTCAAAATAAAGAATAAAAAGGACTGGGGATTTAGCTCAGTGGCAGAGTGCCCTTGGATTCAATCCCCAGTACTGCAAAAAATAGAAAAAGAAACTAGGATAGTATGGAAGGATTAAATCACATGCCTACTGCCAGCTGGGGAGTTAATCTCCCTCCTGCTACATGTAGGGTTATGTGTTTTGAGGCAGGTGTTTAGGGATTTTACACAGGAAAATTGCTCTGGCACGGTAGTACTGCTAAGTGCTTCAAAGTTCTTCAAGGACTGAGGGCAGTTGTGATTCATTTATTCAGAAACATTTAATGAAGTCTACATGTGCCAAGCTCAGTGTTAGATGTGAGTTATAAAAACAACTGCCTTTGATTTCACAGAATGTGAGGTCAGATAGGAAAGACAAACAGACATTGATAGAAAGCCATAAGTGCTGTGTCGGAGGGGCTGTAATATTAAGTAAAGGATTCCAGGAAACCTCATCTAATGCTATATTTGAACTTAGATATAAAGGAGGGAAGGGAAACAGCCATCTGGGCATCTGGAGTGAAGCTGACAAAGGAGATTGCAAATGCAAAGATTCTAAGAGCATGCCTGGCTTACAACCATGAGAGCAAAGGAAGGCTGAGGATATGGTATGGTAGAGCACTTGCCTAGCATGTGCAAGGTATTTGATCCTTGGGTTTGATTTCCAGCACTGCCAAAGGAAAAAAAAAGCAAAGTGGCAAGGAAGTTAGTGTGTAGACTTGTAAGGTCATGTAGGGCTTTATTATGCACATGAGAAACCATGGACTGGGGTTGTGCCTCAGTGATAGAGACTTGCCTAGCATGGGTGAGGCCCTGGGTTCGATCCTCAGCACCACATAAAAAATAAATAAAATAAAGGTTAAATTTAAAAAAAAAGAATGGGCTGGGGATGTGGCTCAAACAGTAGCACGCTCGCCTGGCATGCGTGCGGCCCGGGTTCGATCCTCAGCACCACATACAAAAACAAAGATGTTGTGTCCGCCGAAAACTAAAAAATAAATATTAAAAAAATCTCCCGTGCTCGCTCGCTCTCTCTCTCTCTCAAAGAAAAGAATTGCTGAGTTGCGTATCAAGAGTTAAACATTAAAAAAAAAAAAAGAAAGGTTTTGTTTTATTTTTTAGTACAAGGGATTGAACCTAGGGGAGCTTAACTACTGAGTAACATCCCAGCCCTTTTTTTGTTTTTTATTTTGAGACAGGGTCTAAGTTGTTTATGGCCTTGAACTTGTGATCCTCCTGTGTATGCTTCATGTCTACCTGGGATTGCAGACCTGTACCTCCATACCTGGTGTTTGTTTTGTTTTATTAAGATTTAATTCAAATATCATTTCCCACTTAAAATGTACATTTTTTAAAAAATATGTTAGTATATTCACACTTGTGCAACAATTTTAGAACATTTTCTTCACCTTCCACACGCACACACAGTATTCTATTGTGTGAGTATACCATGTTTTGTTTATTTATCAGTAATGGACATTTGGGTTTCTACCTTTTAGCAATTATGGATAATGCTATTATGAACATATATGTACAAGTTTTTTGTTTAGACATGTTTCATTTCTCTTGGATATATATATACACCCAGGAATGAAATTACTGGGTCATACGAAAAATGTTTTGCCTTTTGAGGAACTGATGATCTGTTTTCCAAAGGTGCTGCAAATCCCACCAGCCAAGTATGAATATGAATTTCTCCACATCTTTGCCAATACTTACAGTTGTGTGTGTGGGCATGTGGGCTGGGTATTGAAGCTTGGGTATTGTGTGCTAAGCAAGTGCTCTACCCTGGGGCTACACCCTTAACCTTGGCCTTTTTTTTTTTTTTTTTGGTTTTTTAGTTATACATGGACACAATATCTTTATTTTTGTTTACTTATTTTTTATGTGGTGCTGAGGATCGAACTCAGTGTCTCACACGTGCAAGGCAAGCACTTTGCCACTGAGCTACAACCCCAGTCCAACCTTGGCCTTTTGACTATATCCATCCTGGTGGATTTGAAGTGATATCTCCAGTATTTTTTAAAAATATTTTTTAGTTGTTGATGGACACAATAACTTTATTTTTGTTTATTTTTATTTTATTTTTATTTGAACCCAGGTCCCCATGTGTGCATGGCAAGTGCTCTACTACTGAGCTACAACCCCAGCCCTCCAGTATTTTCTTGATAGTCAATTTTTTTTTTTTTTTTTAACTAGGGATTGAACCCAGGGCCTCCTGCAATCTAGGCAAGTGCTCTAACATTGAATTACATCCCCAGCCCAAGGTTAATTATTTTAAGCAACTATCTTTCCATGTGTTATCTTTTAGAATATCTATTCAGATCTTTTGCTCGTTTTTAAACTGGATTATTTGCTTTTTTGTTAATTTATTGTAAGATTCAGTAAGAGACTTTGAGAGCAGGAATGATGAAACCTATCAGTTGGAGTCAACTAAAAAAAAGGGAAAAATGTAAAATTTATTCGTATTTTACATAGCTAATGCACAGTAATCACAATGAGTTGTAGAATTGGAGTTAGATAAGTTTTATTCCAGTAGCCAAGCTCTTAGTCATAACGAAGAATGGACAGTGGCTCTCTGAACTCTTCTAGCTTAGTCCCTTGCTTGCCCCATTCTCAATTACTAAGTCTTGACAAACTCTTGAAAGCCCTACCATCCTTGCCGAACTTTCACCCAGGCGCCGGCAGGTGGCGATGAGGCTCTCCGTGGGCCGCTCTGTCTGACGCGTGCACCTCTGTGCGGGCCACAGACGCTGCAGCTGTACTTCCGGGCGCTGATGCAGGTGAGCCAGGGTCTCCCGAAAACCTCAATGCCGTCAACCCAAAGTAAGGGAGCCCCCACTCCTGCCCCAGCTCGCTGTCATGGCTGCCCAATACCAGGGCCAGAGTGCCCAGGGGGAGGCCGGGTAGCGATCAGAGGAGGCAGAGCCGCGTGGACGTCTGGGTCCCGGCGAGGCCCAATGGGATTTAGACCAGTGCCTCTGCCCTGCTACGCAGAAGAGGTCTTGCTTTGGGTCCTCTTGGCTATCCAGATTGCCGGGAAGTGGAGTGTGACTTCTCCTCGTTCTCTCCGTCCCCGCCAGGCGGCGCCATCGCGTGAGCCCCGGTTCCCCTGGGTCAGGAGTGGACCGCCACTGGGAGTAAGTTCTCCTCGTGGACTCTGATATTTCAACATTAGGATTTCCTGGTTGTATGCAAATTCTTATGAGCTACCAGCAAAGATCCTGAGTAGATATAGGGTGGACTCTGGAAATAGTATTTTTAACAGTGGCTCCAGGTTGCTGCTCATAGCTTAGGGACCTCTCCTCAGAAATACTGGCATAACTCGTGGAGGGGAACATTGTAATGGGTTGTTTATGGGGCTGTTTGTGTCCAGGACTGCTTCTAAGAGTAAGGGGTTCTAGCTGGGCATTGTGTCGAGAGACCAGTATATCCCTACCTCACCCCACAATAATGAATTCCCTTTCCTGTCGCTAGCAGGATGCAGAAGATCTCCGTGTTGCTCTTCCTGGCCTGGGTCTGCTTCCTCTTCTATGCTGGCATTGCCCTCTTCACCAGTGGCTTCCTTCTCACCCGTTTGGAGCTCACTAACCATAGCAGCTGCCAGGAGCCCCCAGGTCCTGGGTTCCTGCCGTGGGGAAACCAAGGGAAGCCTGGGGCCTGCTGGATGGCTTCCCGGTTCTCCCGGGTTGTGTTGGTGCTGATAGATGCCCTGCGATTTGACTTTGCCCAGCCCCAGTACTCACAAGTGCCTGGGGAGCCTCCTGTCTCACTGCCCTTCCTGGGCAAACTACGCTCCTTGCAAAGGATCCTGGAGATTCAGCCCCACCATGCCCGACTCTACCGATCTCAGGTTGATCCTCCTACGACCACCATGCAGCGCCTCAAGGCCCTCACCACCGGCTCATTACCTACTTTTATTGATGCTGGCAATAACTTTGCCAGTCATGCCATAATGGAAGACAATCTTATTAAACAACTCACCAATGCAGGTCAGTATGGGCTCCTTTGGAAGCCAAGAATACTTGGGCAGATATCTTATTTAGAAGTTCTGGAGCCAGAATTTTGGGTGCCCAGCTGCCCACTTGGTTGTGGCCTAGGGGTCTAGGAAGGGGGAGAATGACATTGGGACCTTGTGTGTAGAAAGCTCAGTTTGGGGGACAAAGGACTTTGTCTTTGGTGAAAGTTTAAATCTATGTGGAATGTTGATTTTGATCTTGGGGAACTCTCAGTAAAGGGGCAAGGGAGAAATGAAGAGAAGATGAATCTTGACTCACAAGTGTGAAGAAGAGTATAGGCAGATCCAGTCCCTGTTCACTCACTGACTTGGAAAAAGCAGAATATACCCAGGAAAAACAGGTCAGCAAAGATACCCAGGTGCTGAAAATTAGCAAATCATTTTGGAGGAATGGGAGTGAGAAGTCTAGGTGAAGTATGGTCATCAGGGAAAATTTCCTGATGGGAATTTTGGGCCCTGAAAGATAAGGGTTGCTGGATAGAATAGCTGTGCCTTAAGATACATGGTTGGGATTTCTAATGGGTCTTAAAGGGTCTCCTCTTCTGTTTCTCCCCTGCCCTGACTCCTACTCAGCTTCTGACCACCCTCCCCTCCACGTGTCCCTGCAGGAAGGCGTGTAGTCTTCATGGGAGATGATACCTGGAAAGATCTTTTCCCTGGAGCTTTTTCAAAAGCTTTCTTCTTCTCTTCCTTCAATGTCAGAGACCTACACACAGTGGACAATGGCATCTTGGAACACCTGTATCCCACCAGTGAGCAATGGGCCAGAACACTTAGTCCCTAAGACTGGGAACTGGGGACAGCTGCTTTAGTCTACAGATTCTGAACCTCCCATGGGTAAAATGGCCTGGGTGTTTGTTCCCAGACATAGAGGAGTGTTAAAGCCTTGCTGGGGTTGAGGAGCGGGCCTTGGTACCCTGTGCTCAGTGTTCTCCCCTTCACAGTGGACAGTGGTGAATGGGACGTGCTGATTGCTCACTTCCTGGGTGTGGATCATTGTGGCCACAAGCATGGCCCTCACCACCCTGAAATGGCCAAGAAACTTAGCCAGATGGACCAGGTGATCCAGTGAGTGTGGGGTAATGACTGGGGGAGTGGGTTTGTGCCTGGGAATCTCAGAATGTACGGTTCCAGGAGAAAAAGTCCTTATTTGGAGCCTCTTTCCTGGCTGATCTCTATATTTTCCAGGTCTTTTTCTAAAGTTAGGGGTCTCATTCATCTTGAATAACTCAATGGGTGGATTTGGACAATAGATTGAAGAGGTGTCTCTTTGCCAAAGGTCTAGATCCTACTTATGAAAGTCATAGCTTGGGGTGAATGAGTCCTTGAGAAAGATCTTGATCCATCTCTATCCCCTGACACATTTCTTGGTTCACAGGGGACTTGTGGACCGTTTGGAGAATGACACATTGCTGGTGGTGGCTGGGGACCACGGGATGACCATGAATGGAGACCATGGAGGGGACAGTGAGCTGGAAGTCTCAGCTGCACTCTTTCTATACAGTCCCACAGCCCTGTTTCCCAGCACCCCACCAGAGGTGAGGCCTGGACTGTGCCTTTTCTGGTTTACCAGTATTCATTCCTTACCATAATCACAGTATTTTTATTTATTTATTTATTTTGGTACTGGGGATTGAACCCGGGGTGCTCAACCACTGAGCCATATTCCTCAGCCCTTTTTGTATTTTATTTAGAGACAGGGTCTCACTGAGTTGCTTAAGGCCTTGCTAAGTTGCTGAGGCTGGTGTTGAACTCGTGATCCTCCTGCCTCAGCCTCCTGAGCCATGGGGATTACAGGTATGCGCCACCATGCCCAGCATGATCACAGTATTCTTTTTATTTATTTTTTATTTAGTACTGGGGATTGAACTCCGCAGCACTCAACCAATGAACCACACCCCCAGCCCTATTTTGTATTTTATTTAGAGACAGGTTCTCATTGAGTTGCAGCACCTCGCTTCTTTTTTGTTGAGGCTGGCTGGCTTTTAACTCACTATCCTCCTGCCTCATGCTCCTGAGCTGCTGGGATTATAGGTGTGTGCCACCGTGCCCAGCCCTATGATTACAGTATTTTTATTTAACTAATTTTTTTTACATTTATTTTTTAGTTGTAGTTGGATACAATACCTTTATTTTGTTTGCTTATTTTTATGTGGTGCTGAGAATGAAACCCAGGGCCTCGCATATGTTAGGCGAGTTCGCTACCGCTGAGCCACAACCCCAGTTCTGATCACAGTACTCTTATAGGTCACTTTATTTTAGGCTCCCAAATCCATGATCCTGGGATCACTAACCCATGGTTCCACTTATTTCCTTCATCCCAAACACTCAGCTTTCTTTAAATATATATATATATATATATATATATATATATATATATATATATGAGAGTTGTAGATGGACACATACCTTTATTTTGTTTATTTATTTTTATGTGGTGCTGAGGATCAAACCCAGTGCTTCACACGTGCAAGGCAAGCACTCTACTGCTGAGCCCCAGCCCAGCCCCTTACTTCAGCTTTCTGATGAACTCATTAACCCCTGTCCTTTTCCTCTAGGAGCCAGAAGTGATTCCTCAAGTCAGCCTTGTGCCCACACTGGCCCTGCTACTAGGCCTGCCCATACCATTTGGAAACATTGGGGAGGTGATAGCTGAGCTGTTCTCAGCGGGCAAGGACTCCCAGCCCCACCTCTCTGCTCTAGCCCAAGCCTCAGCTCTCCATCTCAATGCCCAGCAGGTGGGTAAGAGGGCTGGGCTTCTGAGTGATAAAATTAGGGTGGGCATAAGAGAAGCATAATGGCTACTACATTGTCCTTTGTTTAGTCTTCCCACCTTCATAGCCATGTCCCCTTCCCATTATTCCTTCCTTCTATGCTAAACAGAGTTTGGGTCCCTGATTCCAAGTGCCCCCTTTTGTAATACTTATCCTTGCCTCTGCCCCAAATTATATTTCTGACCTGTTCCCCTTGGTCTCTGAACTTTTCTGTTAGGTATCCCGATTTCTTCACACCTACTCAGCTGCTACTCAGGACCTCCAAGTTAAGGAGCTTCATCAGCTACAGAATCTCTTCTCCAAGGCCTCTGCTGACTACCAGTGGCTTCTTCAGAACTCCCAAGGGGCTGAGGCTGCATTGCAGACTGTGATTGCTGAGCTGCAGCAGTTCCTGCGGGGAGCTCGGGCTATATGCATTGAGTCTTGGGCCCGTTTCTCTCTGGTCCGCATGGCAGGGGGTGCTGCTCTCTTGGCTGCTGCCTGCTTTCTCTGTCTGCTCGCATCCCAGTGGGCAACATCCCCAAGCTTCCACTTTCGCCCTCTGCTGCTTATACCTGGGGCCTGGGGCCTGGGTGGAGCCATACTATATGCAGGACTCCTGGCAACTACTGGGCTGAAGCTGGATCCAGTGGTTCTAGGGACCATGGCTGCAACAAGCTCACTTCTCCCTTTTTTGTGGAAAGCTTGGGCTGGCTGGGGGTCTAAGAGGCCCATAGCAACTCTGCTTCCCATCCCTGGGCCTGTCCTTTTACTCCTGCTCATTCGCTTGGCTGCCTTCTTCTCTGATAGTTTTGTTGTAGCTGAGGCCAGGGCTACCCCCTTCCTTTTGGGCTCACTCATTTTGCTCCTGGTTGCCCAGCTTCACTGGGAGGGTCAGCTGCTGCCGCCTAAACTGCTCACAATACCCCGCCTTGGCTCTTCTTCCCCAACAGGCCCCCCACGGCACAGTGGTGCATATGCCCTGAAGCTTGGAGTTGGGTTGCTTTTATGTACAAGGCTAGCTGGGCTTTTTCATCGCTGCCCTGAAGAGACACCTGCTTGCCACTCCTCTCCCTGGCTGAGTCCTCTGGCATCCATGGTGGGAGGTCGAGCCAAAAATTTGTGGTACGGAGCTTGTGTTGGGGCACTGGTGACCCTATTAGTTGCTGTGCGACTATGGCTTGGCCGCTATGGTAATCTCAAGAGCCCTGAGCCCCCTGTGCTCTTTGTGCGCTGGGGGCTGCCTGTAATGGCACTGGGCACTGCTGCCTACTGGGCATTGGCATCGGGGGCCGATGAAGCACCCCCGCGTCTCCGAGCCCTGGTTGCTGGGGCATCAGTTGTGCTTCCTCGGGCAGTGGTGGCGCTGGCTGCTTCAGGACTCATGCTGCTTCTCTGGAGGCCTGTGACAGTGCTGGTAAAGGCTGGGGCAAGTGCCCCAAGGACCAGGATTGTCCTCACTCCCTTCTCGGGGCCCCCTACTTCTCAAGCTGACTTGGATTATGTGGTCCCTCAAATTTACCGACACATGCAGGAGGAGTTCCGGGGCCGGCTAGAGAGGACCAAATCTCAGGGTCCCTTGACTGTGGCTGCCTATCAGTTGGGGAGCATCTACTCAGCTGCTATGGTTACGGCCCTCACCTTTTTGGCCTTTCCACTTCTGCTATTGCATGCAGAGCGCATCAGCCTTGTGTTCCTGCTTCTGTTTCTGCAGAGCTTCCTTCTCCTGCATCTGCTTGCTGCTGGGATACCCATCACCACCCCTGGTAAATATATATCTCAGCCCTGATTCATCTAAGGATAGTAATGATATGAGTCCAGCCCCTCTTGTTTTCAAGGAGGTGTTGTTCCTTATGTTCCTCACCTTGACATAGGGTCTCATGCCCCACACAATTGGGAAAGTCTTACTAATGTCCTTTCTCTTACCTGCTGTAGCCAAGCTGATCCCTCCCATTGGCTTTAATGAGTTCCTGGAGGTGGGGGTAGGAGGAGTGATAGGTAAGGAGTCCTCCAGGACTCATGGAAATGCTGCATCCTTATGAACACATTTCCTTATTCTCCAGTGATAGAAGTGGCAAATTATGAATACAGTATGATAGTGAGCTGTGTATGTGTGAGACAAAGAAATAGATTGAGCATAGTGGGATTCAGATTAGGATGCCTGGAGTTTGTGCAACAGAGGGAATTAGAATAATGAGAGTGTCCAGGCATGGTGACTCACTCCTGTAATCCCAGTGACTCAAAATGCTGAAGCAGGAAGATTGCAAGTTTGAGGCAAGCCTTGGCAACTTAGTGAGATCCTATATCAAAATTAAAAAAAAAAAAAAAAAAAAGACTGGGGATATAGCTCAGTGATGGAGTACCTCTGGGTTCAATCTCCAGTGCCAAAGAAAAGAATAATGAGAGTGTTGTCTTATAGAGAGGTTGGGGTGGTGGGCATATGTGTATGAAAATTACCACTGAATTAGCGGCTGTATATGATGGTGGGGTGGTAGGCTATGGATTAGGGGATGAGATGTAATCATAAAGACATATACTTTTTCCTCCAGGTCCTTTTACTGTGCCATGGCAGGCAGTGTCAGCATGGGCCCTCATGGCCACACAGACCTTCTACTCTACAGGCCACCAGCCTGTCTTTCCAGCCATCCATTGGCATGCAGCTTTTGTGGGATTCCCAGAAGGTCATGGCTCCTCTACTTGGCTTCCTGCTTTGCTAGTAGGAGCCAACACCTTTGCCTCCCACCTCCTCTTTTCAGGTACCTCCTTGCTTCCTCTCCCTTACTTTCATTGTTTTCTCTGGCTTTGTGGAAAAAAAGGAAAATCCTGAATTTATAAAGAAGATGTGGTTTCGTTAGATCCTTGGCATCCCTTGGCCTAGGCTAATTGGAGTCTGAGCCAATTAGGGTGGTTGAGGACTAGGGTGGACCAATCTCAGTGTCTTCCATTGATGTCAGCCCTGCCCTTTCCTTGAGGCAGTAGGTTGCCCACTACTTCTGTTGTGGCCTTTCCTATGTGAGAGTCAAGGGCCAAGGAAGAGGCGGCAACCCCCAGGGAGTGAAGCTGAGGCCAGAGTCAGGCCTGAGGAGGAGGTGGAGGAGCCACTGATGGAGATGAGGCTCCGGGATGCACCTCACCACTTCAATGCAGCACTTCTGCAGCTGGGCCTCAAGTACCTCTTTGTCCTTGGTGTCCAGGTACGTATAGAGAAATCAGGGAGCTAGTAATCTTTTCTCATGTGTGTGTTTCACATTCTTTCATACTTTAAAAAATCCTGGGAAAGCAGGGTACAGTGGTTCATGCATATAATCCCAGCTACTCAGGAGGGAGAGGCAGAAGGATCCCAACTTTGAGTCTAGCTTGGGCAACATAATGAGACTCTGTCTCAAAAACAAACAGAAAAACCTTGGGAATGTCTCAACTGAAGTATAGATAAATGAAGAGGTTGCCTAAGCCTGGTGACCTCAAATGACAATTTTGAGACTTAAACCTGTGTTTCTTTATCTAGTCCTGGATCATTTACTCTACAACCTAGATCTGCACCTTGCTAGTTGCATTTGGGAATTATGGACATACTGGAAAGACTTAAGTAATGGCCAGGATTCTTAAACTATGATCATGGAGCCTCCTCCTTCTCTCTGGATGCAGAAGATGTACTGACATCTTCCTCTACCCTGGGAGTCAAAATCTAATTGTTAGCATCAAAGATGGATGGTGACTTGCCCAAAGTCACTGAGTTAGTAGTTGGGCCAGGGCAAGAATTAGGTTTCTTAGCTCATGTCCCAGGGTTTTTGTTTTTTTTTCCCCCAGAAACACATGCTGCTTTCCTTTTTCTTTCATTTTTTCACAGTGGCCTATAGCAGTTTTCCCTTTGCTTTGCTTCTTCCTCCCTTTCCCAAGTAACTGGGACTCTCCTCTCTCTCCTTAGATTCTGGCTTGTACCTTGGCTGCCTCCATCCTCCGCAGGCATCTCATGGTCTGGAAGGTGTTTGCCCCCAAGTGAGTGGATTTACTTAAAAGGGAAGATGGTGGGTGGGAGAAATTTAGAGCAAATTAAGAACATCCAGGATGAACAAGGTTTTGCCTCTGTAGGGAAAAAGCACTAAACCTACTCTTTGATTCCTGAGGCACTCCACCTTTCTTTGTAGGTTCATTTTTGAGGCCATAGGCTTCATCGTGAGCAGCGTGGGACTTCTCCTGGGCATAGCATTGGTGATGCGAGTGGATGGTGCTGTGAGCTCCTGGTTCAGAAAACTAGTTCTGGCTCAGCAGAGGTAGCCTAGGCTATGGATGCTTACATCTGACTACAGAGAGAACTGGAGAATAATATAGCTTGGCCTGTACAGGTGCTAGCTAAACTACAAGAGAGGCTCAGCCACATCTCTTTCCACCATGCAGCCAGGCACTGGGACTTCATTATTTTAAAATTCAAAATCACAGTGGAGTCTGATCCCTAACTCCTGATTTGGTTGCATCTGATGGATAAGGGTGTTAGCTATGGTGGGTCTCCAAAGTGGAATAAAAAAAATGTAAATATGTTTGTCTGAGATGTGGGGGAGTCCCCACTGTCATACATGTGTTGAAGGGAGGGTCAGTCTCCTCTCTCAGGCAGATTGGATCAGTCATCTTAGACATGCTTGGCTATACCTGAGAACCTTTGGCAAGAGGTTGGAGTTGTCTGAATTTACTGCCCCCACTTTTTCCTAAATCAGTCCCATTATCCCACCTATGATTTTCCTTTGCTATTCAGTCAACACATTTTTTGAGTTCTTACACACTTTGGCTGATTGCAGAGAAGACTGAGAAGATAAACCCAGGTATCATAGAGTACACAGAAGCCCCAAATCATCTTCCCTGATGTGTCCTTTCACTCTAAGACACTTTGCTCTTCACTTCTGTGGAAGCCTCCCTAGTTTCCCAACCTGTGCTGTCTATTTATTTATTTATGATACTGGGGATTGAACCCAGGGGTGCTTTACCACTGTGCCACATCCCTAGCCTTTTTTATTTTTTATTTTGAGACACCCTCTCTGAGTTGCTATGATTGGCCTTGAATTTGCAATCCTCCTTGTTAACCTCCCCAGTTGCTAAGATTACATGCATGTGCCACTGTTCTTGGCTCTTTTAAAACAGATCCACTTGCCCATCTTTTTACTTTGGGGGGTGTTGGGAGATGATAATGCAAATTGAACCTAGGACCTGGCATGTGCTAGACAAGCACTCAACCATTGACTACATCTCTAACCCTTTTTTAATTTTTAGACAGTGTCTCACTATATTGCTGAGGCTGGCCTCAAACTTGTGATTCTCTTGCTTACTCCAGAGTACAGATCTTCTTGCCCATCTTGTAGAACATTCCACCTTGTCTCATTGATTATTCCTGGACTTGAAGCCAAATTGTATTTATTAATTTATTCATTTTTACAGCCTCAGAACCATAGGAATCCTAGTGCTTCTCTTGTATGTCTCCTGTGTCCTCTGTCCATTCCACCCTCATTCTCAGGTGTCACATTTGAAGTGCTGGCATGAGATCCTCTGGAGATATCCATCAAAAGAGTTTGGCCAGGCACAAATACCTGTAATTCCAGCACTCGAGAGGCTGAGGCAGGAGGATTATGAGTTCAAAGCCAGCCCCAGCAAAAGCAAGGCACTAAGCAACTCAGTGAGACCCTGTCTCTAAATAAAATACAAAATAGGGCTGGGAATGTGGCTTAGTGGCCAAGTGCCCCTGAGTTCAATCCCAAGTATTTGGGGGGGAAAAAAAAAGTTTGGAAGCCAGGTAGGTGTGGTGACATATGCCTTTAATCCTAGTGATTGAGGATGCTGGAAACGAGGATTGTAAGTTCAAGGTCAGCCTCAGCAATTTAGTGAGACCCTGTCTCAAAAAGGGCTGGGAATGTAGCTAAGTGGTTATACCCCCTGGGTTCACTCCTCAGTACCACAAACGTAAATATAAAATAAATAAAATGGATTATTTGTCTTTTAAAAAAAGTTGAAAAGAACCTCTGGAGAGAAGGGTTAGGACCAAGGTTGGAGGTTTGAACATGTCCAAGTCATGAGAAGTTGGGATTGCTGAAAGAAGAGACGATCTTGGGGCTGGGGTTGTGGCTCAGTGGTAGAGTGCTTGCCTTGCATATGCAAGGTGCTGAGTTTGATCCTCAGCACCACATAAAAGTAAATAAATAAAATAAAGCTATTGTTTAAAAGGAAAAGAAGAAATGATCTTTAAAAAATGGGAGAGCACTTACCTTTAGTTGGCATGAGGAAGAAAAGGTAAGGAGCATTGGTTATGAGGAAGAAATACACTGCTGTGGTAGGTAGCTAAGGGAAGAGTTCAAAGTATTAATGGCTAACAGACTAGGGTACAGAGGTCAAATGCAAAGATGAAAAAGTATGTATTCTGTGAGGCAATTAAAGGATAGATCCTTGGTTACACTGGTTATAAACAGGTTTAATAATGTAGGATGGAGAGGGGTAGGGGTTGTGGCTCAGTGGTAGAGCGCTAGTATGTGTGAGGCACTGGGTTCGATTCTCAGCACTGCATATAAATAAATAAAATAAAGGTCCATTGACAACTAAAAAATATAAAAAACAAATAATGCAAGATGGAGAAGTTATGGCCCCAGCTAGCCTATAAAAGAAATAAGGGGAAAAAGAAAAGAAAACCCTCCCCCAACCTGGTGGCAACTTCTGAGGTAGTTTGGTGGAACAATTCCTTTGTGAGAAAGGAAAACACCCTTTCCATCTCTAGTACCTAGGAAGTACCTTTAGTACTTTAGTTCTTTAGTACTCTAGTACCTAGGGCAGTACCTCTAGTACCTTTGTCTGTACCTTCATCTCCCCGCAAATTGTATTTTATTATTTATTTATTTTGCAGAGCCTTCCTTACCTACAGCCTAAGGATAATCTAATCTATCAACCAATGTCTAATCACTTTCTCCTGATAAATCTTTAAGATTCTTTTAGAGAAAGATGTGTTAGAAAATTGATTACCAAGCATGATGGCACATGCCTTTAATGCCAGCTACTTAGGAAGCTGAGGCTAGAGGAACCCACATTTGAGGACAACCTGGGAGACTGAGCAAGAACCTGTCTCAAAATAAAAAATAAAAAGGGATAGGGGTGTAGTTCAATGGTAGAGCACCCTTGGGTTCAATCTCCAGTACAGCAAAAAGAAAATGAGAAGAAGAAGAAAGAAATGAGATCATATAATCTGTGGCCTTTTGTGATTGACCTCTTCATCATGTTTCCAAGGTTTATATATCAGTATATATTGTTTTTTTCTCTTCTTTTTTGGTACCATGGATTGAATCTGAGGCGCATCCCTAGCCTTTTTTATTATTATTATTTTTAAAATATTCTTTTTTAGTTATAGATGAACACAATGCCTTTATATTATTTTTATGTGGTGCCGAGGATTGAACCCAGTGCCTCATACATGCTAGGCAGACACTCTACCACTGAGCTACAACCCTAATCCTTATTTTTTATTTTGAGACAGGGTCTCACAGAGTTGCTTAGGGCCTTACTAAGTTTCTAAGGCTGGCTTTGAACTTGGCCTCAGCTTCTCGATTCTTTTTCTTTTTAAGTTCAGATAAAATTTAACATTTTAACCTTTTGTTTGGCGGGGGGTTTCTGGGGATTGAACCCAGGTGCACCTTACCACTGAGTTACATCCCCTGCCATTTTTATTTTTTGAGTCAGGGTCTCACTAAGTTGCTTAAGTCCTTGCTGAATTGCTGAGGCTGGCCTGGAACTTCCGATCTTCTGCCTCAGCCTCCAGAGTTCCTGGGATTACAAGCGGTGTTACCAAGCCTACCATATTTTAGCCATTTTAAAAAATACATTCATAATGTGCAATCATCAGCACTATCAATTCTAGAATTTTCATTACCCTAAAAAAGAAACCCTGTACCCATTAAACAATCACTTTCCTTCTTCTCCCCAAATCCCTGGCCTCAGGAATCTGCTTTATGTTTCATATTTACCTATTATGGATATTTTGTATAAATGGGATCATTCAGTATGTGCCCTTTTCAGTCTGACTTCTTTGCTCCTCCTCCTGCTTCTTTCTCCTCTTTTTTTTTGTTGTTTTGTTGTTGTACTGGAGATTGAACCTGAGGACACTTTACCATTACCCTTTTTAAATTTTTTTTATTTTGAGACAGCTTCTCACTTAGTTGCTTAGGGCTGGCTAAGTTGCTGAGGCTGGTTTCGAATTGAACTTGTGACTCTTCTCCCTCAGCCTCCTGAGTTGCTGGGATTATAGGCCTGCACCACCACATTTGAGGTCTGTCTTTCATTTGGCTTAATATTTTCAAAGTTCATCCACATGGCATTATATATTGGTACTTCATTCCTTTTCATAGCCAAGTAATTCCATTGCATGGATAGACCACATTTTACTTCTTCATATGTTGATGAACATTTGGATTTTCACCTTTAGTTATTGTAAATAATGCTGCTATGAACATTCATGTATAAGGTTTTTGTTTTCTGTTTTATGTACCTGGGTCACTCAACCACTGAGCCACATCCCCATCCTTTTTAATTTTTATTTTGAGACAAAAGTCTCACTGAGTTACTTAGGGCTTCACTAAATTGCTGAGGCTGACTTTGAACTAGTGATCCTCCTGCCTTGGCCTCCTAAACTGATGGGATTACAGGCATGTGCCTGTAAAGATGCCTGGCTCCCTTGTATTTTTTTTTTGGTACTGGGGATTGAACTCAGGGGCACTCAACCACTGAGCCACATCCCCAGCCATATTTTATATTTTATTTAGATACAAGGTCTCACTGAGTTGCTTAGTGCCTTACTTTTGCTAGGCTGGCTTTGATCTCTTGATCCTCCTGCCTCAGCCTCTGAGATTAAAGGCGTGTGCTACCACCCCTGGCTTCATGTACGTTTTTGTTTGGGCATATGTTTCAATTTCTCTTGAGTATATATCTCATGGTATATTGTAGAAATACTGGGCCATTTGGTAATTCTGATCTTTTAAAGAACTGTCATTCTGTTTTCCAAAGTTGCTATACCATTTTATATTCCTTCCAGCAGTGTGTATGAGTTCTGATTTCTCCACAGTGATGTCAACACTTGTTATTATCTATTTTTGATCCAATCATTTTACTGTATGTGAAATAATATTGTGTTTTGGGTTTGCATTTCTTTGAAGGTCTGTGATGTTGAACATATTTCCTTGTACTCATTGGAGAATTATCCATTCAGATCCTTTGCCTATTTTTAAATTGGGTTATTTGTCTTTTTTTAATTATTGGATTGTAAGCATTCTCTATATATTTTAGATACCAGTTCTTTGCCAGATCTCTGTGATTTGCAAATATTTTCTCCATTCTATGGGTTGTTGTAAAAGTCAGGAAAAAACAAAATATTGACTTCCCCTTTTCTCTAACCACAACCAACACAGAAGACTTTTGTGACTTCACAAGGCATGGGTATTTCTTCCTTCCAACAAGCAAGCACTTCTGCAGTGGACACCAGATGAGAAGCCTCTACTTCAATTCAGTTCTGACACTATCAATAAGGAAATAAGATTAGTTCCCTCAGAATGAAGATTCAGTTCCCAATACTTCTTCCACTTCCCTCACCACTTCAAAAGTAAATTGCAAGCCCCAGGTTGTTTCACCTGTGCTTCTGATTGAAAAAATTGGGATTTTTCTCAGTATAGGTTGGGTTTCCACAACCCCCTCCTGGGTTGATTAATTTGCTTGAGAGGCTCACAAAACTCAAGGAAACATTTACTTATGTTTATCAATGGTGTCGACTTTTTGTCCTATTTTGTACCTGAGGAAAAAAAAAAAGGAAAGATTTATTTTGGGTCATGATTTCAGTTCATGGTCAACTTGCTTCATTCTTATGGGCCTGAGTATGTAGAGAGAGTGTGGTGGAGAAGCAATGCCCACCTCATGGGGGCCTGAAAGCAGAGAGTGGGGAGAGAGTAGAGTGGAGAAAGAGAGAGGGGTGAGGAGCAGGGACAAAAGATAGCCACCAAGGGCATGTCCCCAAAGTGTCCTACTTCTTTCAATTAGGTCCTCCTTCCTATAGTTTTCACTACCTACCATTAATCCATTCACTTGTGAATATCAGTAGATTAACCTATTTATTTATTTATTTATATTTAGTTGTAGATGGACACAATATCTTTATTTTTATTTATTTGTTTTTAAGTGGTGCTGGGGATTGAACCCAGGGCCTCACATGTGCGAGGCAAGCGGTCTACCACTGAGCTCCAGCTCCAGCCCCTTAACCAATTTTTAAAAAAATATTTTTTTAGTTGTAGGTGGACACAATACCTTTTTTTTTTTTTTTAAATATTTTTAGGTGTAGTTGGACACAATGCCTTTATTGTATTTATTTATATGTGGTGCTGAGAATTGGATCGACCTCACACATGATAGGCAAGCATTCTACCACTGAGCCACAACCCCAGCCCAGATTAATCTATTGATGAGTTTATGGCCCTTCTGATCCAATCACTTCCCAAAGTGTGCGTCTGCCACCCCCCCCCCCCCAACATTGCTGTACTAGGGACCAAATCTTCAACACATGAACCTTTAAAAGCTATTGTGGATCCAAACCATAACACCAGTTTATTATTAAGGATATAGAAGAAGATATACATATGGTGGGAAAGGGTGCAAAGCTCCAACCTCCTATCTAGATATACTACCTCCGGGAACCACCATGTGTTCAGATATAAGGAAGTTTTCCAGCCTGACCTTTTTGGTGTTCATTGCATAGGCCTTATTGCTAATAGACTGGATGGGGAAGCCCAGCAAGGTGCAGTATTTCTTCCTCCAGAGTATGGGAAGGGACCCCTCTGGAATAAGATGGGTCTTATGACCTATTTTCAGAAGAGGTAAGTCAGAGAATTTCTTGGTAAAAGGCAGAGAAAGATTGTTTTTTATGACTTGCCTTAGGGAGAGGAAAACCTGGAAACTGGAGGAAGACCCAACAGTTTTCTCTTCATTTTCTTTCTCTCTCTCTCTCTTTTTTTTTTTTTTTTTTGGTGCTGAGTATTGAACCCAGAGCTTCACATATGCCAGGCAAGCACTCTATCACTAAGCTACATTTCCAGGCCTTTGTTGTCGATTGAGATGGGGTCTGACTGTATTCCCAGACTAGTTTTGATTCCTGGGCTAAAGTAAATCCTTCCACCTCAGCCTCTGGATCAACTGGGACTACAAGTGTGTGTGACTGCACCTGCCTTCATTTTCTTAATATCCTTTGAGGCACAACATTTTTAAATTTGAAAAAAATCCAAATCCTATTCTTTTTTTGCTTGAGATTTTGATGTCATATAAAAAATTATTACCACGTGCAACAATTTAGTTTTAGAATATTTCCATTATCTACCCAAATTCCCTAGCCTTCCCTGCTCCCTTTCTTTCTCGTACTGGGGATTGAACCCAGGGCCACACTACCTCTGAGCTCCATCCCCATCCCTTTTTATTTTATTTTTTGAGGCAGGGCCTCACTGGCCTTGAACTTGGGTTCTCCTGTCTCAGACTCCAGAAGAGCTGGGATTTGAGGCCTGCGCTGCTGCACTAAGAGGTTTTTATTTTAGTGAAGTCATTTTTTTTTGTTGTTGTTGTGGTTGGTCATGCTTTTGTACTTAAGAATGTACTTAAGGGGCTGGGGATGTGGCTCAAGTGGTAGCATGCTTGCCTGGCATACGTGCGGCCCGGGTTGGATCCTCATGCACCACATACAAACAAAGATGTTGTGTCCGCCGATACTTGAAAAATAAATATTAAAAAAAAAAAGAATGTACTTAAGTGTACTTAAGAATGTTCATGCTTGTAATGTACTTAAGAATACGTTTATGGTATTTAAGAATATATCTGCGGGGTTGGGGTTGTGGCTCAGCGGTAGAGTGCTCGTCTAGCCCTGGGTTCGATCCTCAGCACCACATAAAAATAAGTAAATAAAATGAAAGTATTGTGTCCAACTACAACTAAAAAATAAATATTTTTTTTTTGAGAGAGAATTTTGATATTTTATTTTTTAGTTTTCGGCGGACACAACATCTTTGTTTGTATGTGGTGCTGAGGATCCAACAGGGCCGCACGCATGCCAGGCGAGCGCGCACCGCTTGAGCCATATCCCCAGCCCCTAAAAAATAAATATTAAAAAATATATATATTTGAGTTGTCAAATTCAAGACCACAAACGGATTATCTTATGTTTTCTTTCATAAGTTTTGGATTTTTGGTTCTTGTGTTTGTGACCCATTTTGAGTTGATTTTACACATGGAGGGTTGAATTTTGTTCTGTTTTGCCCAGTTGTGGGACTATTACGGAGGGCGGGGCTTTCCCCGTCGTACTACGGACCCCAGCATACACTGCGCGGGCCAACACGCCGGAGAGGGGAAATCCGGGCAGGCCTGGGGGTGTGGCTGCGTGGAAAGGCTGAGTTACAGACTAGTTCTGAGAACGCTTGCTACCACCGTTTGTGAAGGCGGTAGGCCCCGCGAGGGCCTAGCAGGCGGAAGGGCCTGCCACGCGACTTCCCAGCTCAGACATGCCACACCTTGTGACTGTTCTGGTCAGTCGGGACACTTTTCTTACCCAAGTTTCCCGCGGAAACGACTCTTGAAGAGGACCAATCACAGCAGAGAGTTTTGCTGGGCGGGCCAACCAGAGGCGAGGGTGGGAGCCGCGCCACTCGAGAGCTCCGGATTTGTGCTGGAAAGGGTGGACAGCCTTTGTAGGGATCTCGAAGGGAGCCCGAAAGGGTGCGGAAGTGAGCAAGCCCCTCTCGACTATGGTGGGGGCTACGGCGGGGTTACCCTCACCCATCAGAAACCCTTCGCAGGTGTAGCGGTTCACCCTCCTCGACTATGGCCCACCAGTCTTTCCTGGGCTCCCCAGAGGCTCGCGCCAGCTGCCTGGACCTGTGGAAGGAAAAGAACGACCGGCTCGTTCGACAGGCCAAGGTAACGTGGTTACTGGGACTCTTGCTTTGCTGCACCAGGATCCCAGAAAGCGCGTTTGCAGTGAAATTACCCCAGCCTTTGGGAAGGAGCACAGGTTGACTTCCCTCGAAGAGCAAAAAATGCCTGGAGAATGCACCCCTCTTTACTGTTGAAAGGGGAGCGAAAAAAAGACTCATTCTCAGTAACGTTCCCTCCCACTTTGGCAGGTGGCTCAGGACTCTGGTGTGTCTCTGAGGCGACACAAGTTGGTTCAAGACACACTGGAGGGACTCAGGGAGCTCCTCCACATTCTGCATGGTAAGCAGAGTCTTCTCCAGGATGGTCAGTTTGCGTTCTCCACAGCCAAGAATCTTCTGTATTTCTGGGATTGAGGTGATTACTTAGGGGACAGGGAGTACACAGAATGGGCCGGAGTGGAATTGTCTTTGTACATGGAGTTTCTCTTCTGCACCTGCCTGTGTATGGGCTCGGAAGCATGCATACACACTGGTAGCATGGGAAGAAGTGGTTTCCCGGATGATTTTTGCTCTTTCAGGACTGACCAGAGGACATGTTCTTCATTGAAGCTGTTTTGTTTGGAGTGGGATGATCTCTGGATTGGGATCTTATTTGGGAAAATTTTCATGTGAGAGAAGGAGAGTGTGTGAGTGAGAGAGCCTAAGATCAGCATCTGTTGCTTCAGGACTTCCTGCAGCTGTCCCTGTTCTCCCCTTGGAGCTGATTGTCACCTGTAACTTCATTATCCTGAAGGTGAGCCTAGCCCAGGGTTTCACTGAAGACCAGGCCCAGGATATACAACGGGGCCTAGAAAGAGGTGAGGGTCAGTTTGCCTTCTATTCCCCTGCCAGCTTTAGTCTGGATTTAAGTCTATCTAAGAGGTTGGGAGAAACAACAAAAGACATCATCTTCATGGAGAGAGGTGCCCTTCTGTAATTCTCTATGGGCTCCTCAGACCAGGTTGGGGTGTTATTATTGTAATCCTTGGGCTTTTGCAGAAGAGGAAAGACAGAGAGTATGGGGGAGATGGAGTATGTGGTCTCACCTTTGCTTTGTGTATGTGTACTCTATAGTGCTAGAGACCCAGGAGCAGTTGGGGCCCAGGCCAGAGCAAGGGATCAGGAAGTTGTGGGAGTCTGTCCTCCGTGCTTCCTCCCTTCTGCCCGAGCTACTGTGTGCCCTGCACCACCTGGCTGGCCTGCAGGCTGCCCTTTGGCTGAGCATTGACCGTCTTGAAGACCTGGCCTTGCTGTTGCAGACTCTGAATGGCAACCAGGTAATGGGGGAAATGATCTGAAGATGAGGGTGTCATCCCTCCTTCCTTCTCCACTGCTGCAGGTGCATGATTACTGGAAAGCCTTCTACATTTGTAGTCTGAAAACCTGAGTTTTCTGAGGGACTTTGGGTAACCTTGCTCTGGTTGTCCCTTTGTGGGGGATTATCTTTAGGGCATTTTTTAAAAACAGCTTAATGAATTTGGTTACGGTTAGGGCTTTTGTGCATGATCTTACTGAAACTAACTCACAATCTCAGTCTTCTCAGAAGTAACCCGAACATGGTTACTAAACTGGCCCCATGACCTCATTGGCATATCCTGAATGAGAAGGCATACTAGAAAAGATCACCACTGCCCTAAATTATTATTCTTTCCTTTATCCTTCCTTCTCAGATATCTTTCTCTTAGAATTGGGGGAGCAGGAATCAGGAGGAGTCTTTAACTCAAGGAGCCCAAGACTGGAGAAGTGAGAGTGGTTTTAGACTTAGAGACTTGGTCCTTTTCTCTCCAGAATGGGGCCTCTAAGGATCTGCTGCTACTTCTAAAAACTTGGAACCCTCCAGCTGAGGAATCAGATGCCCCATTGACCCTGCAGAATGCCCGGGGTTTGAGGGATATCCTTTTGACAGCATTTGCCTACCGTCAAGGTCAGCTAGCAACCTGACTCATCCTTTCCCTTAAGGTATCCTCTGGGCTTATACTCTCCCTGTCATATCCCATTCAATTCCATGGAATTTTTCTGGGCTCACTTTCCCATCACATTTTCTACTTTATGGGCTTCTCTAATCTCACACCCTAATTGCACTCAGGCCTCCAGGAGCTGATTTCAGGGAGCCTACCAAGGGCATTGAGCAGCCTGCATGAAGCAGCCTCAGGTCTGTGTCCACGACCTCTCTTGGTTCAGGTGTATACAGCATTAGGATCCTGTCTTCGTAAGATGGTAAAGATAGCCCTGAGGGGTGGGCATTATAAACAGCATTTTCTTTTTGTTGGTAGCTGAGGCCTATGTCCTTTTACCCCTCTAGGGAAATCCACAGAGAGCTTTGCTGTACTTGATTGCAGCCCTGAAAGGGGGATCAGCCTGGGGTCTTCCACTTCTGGAGGCTTCCAGATTATATCGGCAATTGGGGGATACAGCTGCAGAGCTGGAGAGTCTGGAGCTGCTGGTTGAGGTAAGTAACTGTCAGATGAATATATAGGGTGGAGAATGGCTGAGGTGCTGGTGTTGGAGTAACTAGACAAGATACAAGTATAAGGAAGTATGACTCCCAAAGATTATAGATATACTTTCTTCTTTCTTTCCCATTTAGGCCTTGAGTGCCACCCATAGCTCTGAAGTTCCACAGCTTCTCATTGAGGTAGAATTGCTACTCCCACGACCTGACCCAGCCTCTCCCCTTTACTGTGGCACACAGAGCCAAGCGAAGCACCTGTTAGCAAGCCGATGCCTACAGATGGGGAGGTGAGGTTCCCTCTTGCTCAGCTGAGCTCCCCTTCCCACTTCATGCCTTCCCCAGGGTATGACTCTAGGTTTTTTGTTTTGTTTTGGTACTGAGCATTGAACCCAGGTGCACTTAACTACTGCTCCACATCCCTACCTCTTTTTGGTATTTTTATTTAGAGACAGGGTCTCACTGAGTTGCTTAGGGCCTCGCTAAGTTGCTGAGGCTGGCTTTGAACTTGTGGTCCTCCTGCCTCAGCTTCCCGAGCCACTAGGATTATACGTTGTGCACAACTGTGCCCAGCCATGACTCTGTTTTTTGTTCCTGTGAGTTGGGTGATGAATGAGGCAATGGTAGGACATAGGTCTCTACTCCCCAGTGTCCTGCCTTACTGCTGAACCTGATCTGAGGGCTTTTCATCCAGACAATAACTTCTATCTTTGAAACACTGAAATCTCCCCAATCCATTCTGTAACTGAGGTAGATCCATGCAGAGCCAGGGTTGTAGGCCTAGACCTCACCTTCTTTCTTATTCCTCAAGGCCTACAAGCATCCCTTCATTAGCAAGGAGAGAACGTTTTACCTGAAGCCCTTGGAAGACCCTGCTAGGGCTTAAGGTAGTGTTCATGTGTTATGACTTTCCAGGGCAGAAGATGCTGCAGAGCATTACTTGGACCTGCTGGCCCTGTTGCTGGATGGCTCAGATCCACGGGTAGGTTCTCCATAATGAAATGGGAGGGTTGAGGATTCCTTTGGAGTAGAGCAGAATGATTGTTCTGCTTTTCCCTCTACTATTCTGTCTGTCCATTATGGAAGACCAGGCTCTATATGGTCTTTATAGTACCAGAGCCTGGTGAAGAGATCTCTTCAAGACATGCATCCTTCTCCCACTCTAGTTCTGCCCACCAACCTGCCCCCCAGGACCTTGCATGCCTGAGGTGTTCTTGGAGGCAGCAGCAGCACTGATCCAGGCAGGCCGAGCCCAAGATGCTTTGACTGTATGTGAGGAGCTGCTTACCCGCACATCTTCTCTGCTTCCCAAGATGCTTCAGCCATGGGAAGATGCAAGAAAAGGAACCAAGGAACTGCCATCCTGCCCACTCTGGGTCTCTGCTGTTTACCTGCTTCAGGGCCGGGCCTGGGTACAACTGAGGGCCCCAAAAGAGGCAATTAGTGAATTTAGCCGGTGAGCACAGTAAGCCACCTAGGGTTCTGGGGAAGTGTGGAAGAAAGATTTTCTGATTGGGACCTGGGTTGGTGAATTCTGTTCTTACCCACTCACCTGAATTTCTGAGTTTGATTCTTCTTTGCTCCTGCTCCATGTTCCATATCAGGTGCCTTGAGTTGCTCTTCCGGGCCATACCTGGGGACAAAGAACAAGGTGATTTAGAATTTCCGTTTTCCTTATCTCCTGGAAGGGGTGGAGGTGAAAGTGGGTTTCCTTTCCGTGTATCCAGCCCACCAGACTAGAAGACTTAAGAAAAGGGGCTCTAAACAAAAGAAGAGAGAGAGGGGAACTCGGGGTTTTGGTGATATGTGGTTGGGAAGACACTTATTGATTTTGGGTATGGTCCTCAGGGGCAGCTTCCAACTGTGAGCAGGAGTGTAGGTCAGATATGGTAGTGCAACATCTTCGGGCAGCTGCCCTGATCAGTCGTGGACTGGAGTGGGCAGCCAATGGCCAAGATACCAAAGCCCTACAGGACTTCCTCCTCAGTGTGCAGATGTGCCCAGGTATGTATGCTATACATAACATCAGTTATGCATGGATGTTCAGGGACAGAGAGGTCCACAGAGGAGGTACTTGGGCATTATTTGTGTAAGAGTGGTTTTCTGAGACAGGAGGGCTGAGTGAGATTATGCTGTTTAAAACTAGGATATATCTAAGTATGCACATATAAACATAGTATATATACAAGGCTCCCAAGAGTTCCCTGGTTTCCTGTGTCCTTAAGACACAAAGACCATGACTGCATTGGTGTGGGCTATGTGGGAATGGGGCCAGCTGAGCCCTTTTTACTGGGCAGGTGACAAATCCTGGAAGAGGAATGGTTGTGAGTGATCTACTCTTGGTTTCATATGTGAGTGTAAACAAGACAGTCTCGCTAGTTCTCAGTTTCTTCTTTTATAAAATGATGCCTAAGCCTATATCAAATTCTAAATCTTTCTACTCTGGGGTGGGCTACAGGTAATAGAGATGCTTCCTTTCACCTGCTTCAGACTCTAAGGAGGCTGGATAGGAAGGATGAGGCCGCTGCTTTCTGTTGGAGGCTGCAGGCCCAAACTCAACTGCCACAGAAGGAAGCTACCTGGTGAGGGTTGCTGGCTTGGGGCTGAAGGACAGTTGGAATTGTGGAGTCCTTGGGAGTATTGGGGGTGATGAAGGAATGAAAGGGAGGGAAGGTTGCCTAACCTTTGATCTTTCACTCTTATGCATCACTCTTCTTGCTCTCCAGGTCTCTCCCTCTGTACTTAGAAATCTATTTGAGCTGGATCCATTCCCCTGACTGTGAAACCTTCCTTGAAGAGTTTCAGACATCTCTGCAGGAGCCTCACGACCTGTAGCTGCTATGTTTCCAAGAGCCTGAGCTGAGGGCCCAGTGAATCATCTCTGTGAGGAGGGCCTTCCCGCCTCCCCTTGCTTTACCCTCCATGGGTGATGTGACTGGAGCTGATCATTCCTATGTAACTCTTCTACTGGTGAAGTTGGTGGCAGTCTTGTGTGGTTTGGGATACTCCTTCCTTCTGGAGGAAGTATTCCCTGCTACCAACAAGTCATTGACTTTGCTTGTAGCATCTGTTTTTCCTGTTTCCCCTTTTCTTGTGTTGAGTAAAAATGCATATATATATATATATATATATATATATATATATATGAATATATATCTTGTCTGCCTAGTACATATACTTGGATGGGAAAGCTTTTGGGTGCTTAGTTGAGTGCTGGTTGTCAAAAGAACCCTCTCCCAATATTGACTGCCTGTGCTCCCCCCCCCTTTTATTTGTTGGTGTGTGTGTGTGTGTGTCGGGGGGTGCTAGCGATTGAATCCAGGCCTTGTATATGAACTCCCATCCTCTCAACATCATCTGTCTTATGAGCTGGAGGCCCAGCTATGATGGAAAGACTACACTAATCCTCATTCAGTGCCTTAGTCCTTTACAGACCCAAAGCCCAAATCCTGTGCTAGGTGACAGGAGTTAGGTATGGAGGGTGACCTAGACAGGCTTTTCAAGTTAATGGCAGGTTCTTAATACTGAGGAGGGACAACCAGATCTCTGAGTCTATCAATGACTCCTCACCTACTTCCTAATTCTAAATTCTAGAAACTGAACTCATTTCAGTCAAACTTGTCTGTGTGGATGGGGGGGTGAAGTGTGATTTGAGTCAGCAAGCCCCAAAGAACCCTATTGACGCCAGTCAGGGCCAACTGTCATTGTAACTGAGGGACTTCTAATTCCAGTATGTAATTTTCTTGCTGCCTTGGATGATATTGGCTCTGCTTTGTGTTCTGTGGCTGCCTTTTGACCTCTTTGGACTCTGAATGTGCTCTCCTCCAGGCATCTATATTAATACTCTATGGTAAGGGAAGCACCCCTCCCTTAAGCACTCGGAAACGGTAAAACTCGTGGGATTAACTTGGGGAGGGTGCAATGACAATGGGGTAGCCCGGATGAAAAGCTGGGGTGCTAGTCAAAAGAGCCAGAGTAGGGGTTGCTGGTGCCAGTATTTTGTTTTTGTTTTTGGTGCTCGGGATTGAATTCAGGGGCACTTAAGGACTAAGTCACATCCCCATCCCTTTTTATTTATTTATTTTTATATTTTTACTTTGAGACTGTCCACATTGCTTAGGACTTCACTAAGTTGCTGAGGCTGGTTTTGAACTTGCCATCCTCGTGCCTCAGTTTTCCAAATTGCTGGGCATGTGCCATGGCACCTGGCTTGGTGCCAGTGTTTTAAAGAATCAAGAAGTGTTTGTGTGGTGATGGAATAAAAGGATCCCCAGGTTTGTGGAGAAACTGTGTGGATTATCACTACAACAGAACTAGACTAATAGAAGAGTTCAATCCATTGTGCCAGGTTCTTCTAGGGGGATAAACTCGGAAGCCAATGAACTGGAGCCAAGTGGGAGAGTCCGCCTCCAAAGGCTTAAAGGCTCTCCTTTTACTAGTCGATCTGGTCCAGTTTCTTCCGCTGATTGGTCTAGACTCACAATCCGTCGAGGAAGCGTAGCGTTGCGACCAATTGAGGTGGCGTTACTAGGCGTGTTGTATCCCTGAGGCGGGACCCAGGCCATAAGCTAATTTTCTGATTGGCTGTGGTCTCTGGGTTGCTGGGGAGAGGCGCGGAGAGGCGGGCGCGAGTTCCCAGGGCAGGCGCTGATTGGCTGAAGTGAGAGCGGCTTTCCTTCCGATGATTCGGCTTTTCTCGACTCAGTCTCAGCTAAGCGTTTGCAGCCGTCGTTGGAGTCTTCGCTGCCGCTGCCTCCTCGCGAATCAGCCAGCGTCTCCCGCCCGCCCGCAGCCCGAGTGCCGCTGGGAGGAAGCGAGAGGGAGGCCCCCTGTGGGTTTGTAGCTGCTGCTCGCCATCCCTCCCCCAGCCTGGGAGAGCCTAGCCCCGGCCCAGTCGGTCGCCTGCCACTCTTGTAGCCGTTACCCGCGGGCCGCCACAGCTGCCGACCGGGAGAGGCGCGCGCCATGGCCTCTGGAGCCGAGTGAGTGTGTGCGCGCGCCCGCCAGCTAGTTGCGGGGGCGCGCACCGCGGGATCCGCCGCGCTGGGTAGGCCCCGGTCGGGCCTGGCCGGGGGCGCGTCTGAGAGGTGGAGACCGGGAAGGTGGGAGAGGAAAGGAGAGGAAGCGGGCAAACGAGGGCCCGTGGGCCCGCGTCCCAGCGCGCCACCTAGGCTGTGCTTGTGTTGGGCCCGGGTCGGAGCCTGGGCGAGATCGTGCTGTGTCATGCAGGCCCCGGCCGGCCTGATTGACCCTCTCGGAACTGCGGCCCCGGCGTAGTGAGGTCTTACGTCTCACGCTGCTTGCGCGGATCCCCAGGGCCTTGAGGCACCGGTCTGCGAATCCGCATACCACCCGTGGACGACCCTGGGCCCACGAAGAGAGCAGGCCCCGCGAGCCCGCAGCCCCAACTGGGCCCGGTGGGCGTGGACTTTGGGCCACGTGAAGGCCTCTGGAGCCTTGAGACTCAGGCTGCGGTTCCGGGCGGGGGAAGTCCCAGCGAGCTCAGGAAAGCTCACACTGGCCCTTTTGGAGCTGGGACTACTTGGCCCGAGGTTGGCATCCTCAGCCACCTGAGTTGTGAGGGCCTGTTCAGGAAAGGGCAGCCCCTGCCTTTCGCCTCTGGCCATCTTCCTACTTTAGGCCTACGAGGAGGCTCTAGAGAGGTCCTTGCTAAAGTTTGAAGCTCACTTTCTGTTTTGTGGCCTTCCCTACACTAAAGCTTTCGTGACTTGCAGGTTGGAGTTACCCAAACCCTTCAGGGAAAAGACACACGCCCCTTTTCTGAAACAGCTACCTAGAGAAATTCTCTGGGCCTTGGGGGTTTCTGGCCCTACCTTCATCTCTCAGGAAAGCATCAGATAAAACCTGGCCACCTCAGCCTATTCTGCCTAGAATCTAGAGGTTTAGATACAAAAAAAACCAAACCAAAACAAAACAAAAAAACACGTTCTACTAAAAACTTGTATGTAAATCACCTTCCTGCTTTGAAGAGATTAGTGTTTTGAGGTGTGTTCCTTTTTTTCAAGTTTCTGAATTGGGATGAAGTATTACTCAGTTGCTTAATTAAAAAGGTGATTGTTGATGCCTAAAATAGGCTCTCAGGTTATATCCAGCTAGCCTCTGCTTTTCAAAACTAAAAATCTAAAATTCTTGTAACCTGGAATCACTAGCAGTTTCTCACCTCTAGGTCATCTTAATGACTTACTGAATCTCCTCCAAGTCTCCTGTGGCCTGTTGGTTCTGGAAAGGACCTGAGTCATGCATAAGACAATGGGGAATGTTCCCAAAGAACCTCCAGAATTGCTGTTAGCCTATGGTCAGGCTGAATTCACTCTTTTACTGATCTCCACAGATAAGGAATTAGAGGTCTTTTGTTTGTTTTTGGTACCAGGGATTGGACCAAGAGGTGGATTAACCACTGAGCACATCCCTGTCTCCCCTGCCCTCCCACTTTTTTCTCTCCTTGAGACAGGGTCTTGCTAAGTTGCTTAGGGCTTCGCTAAGGTTCTGAGGCTGGCCTCCAACTTGTGACCCTTCTGCCTCAGCCTTCTCTGTTGCTGGAATTACAGGTGTGTGCCACCACACCCGGCTCTCCAGTCCTTTTTATTTTGAGACAAGGTCTTGCTGAGTTGCTGAGGCTGATTTCGAACTTGTGATCCTCCTGCCTCAGCCTCCTGAGTTGCTGGGATTACAGGTGTGTGCCACTGTGCCTGTCCTAGAGGTTTTTACCTTAAGTGAAGGGCATATCACTCTTTAGAGGTAGGGTCAGTAATGGTAGGCATATTGGAGGTTTTTCTAGAATGCAGTTTTGAGGTTAATATACAAACTATGATGACTTGAAGCAACTGGCATTTTATTTTTTTCCAGCCCCAGTCTTGAAAATCAAACAGGAAGATGGACAGTCCTTGGGGGGAGTATAGGATGGTATTTTGATGGGTTGGGGGTAGGCAGGAGAACTGGTAAGTTTACATAGGTTGCCCTGGGCAGTCACATTGCCCATACTAGAGTGTTGATGATTTTTGAAAGAGTCTACCTGCTCTGCAGCACTGTGCCCAGAATGGCACACTTTTAGGATGGAGGAGTAAAGTTACAGATGAGGAAACTACTATTGGAAATTAGTTTAAAAGCAGTAGTAAAGATAGAACCAGCCAGATGTGATGATGCATGCTTGTAATCCTAGTGACTCCAGAGGCTGAGGCAGGAGGATCGCGAATTCAGAACCAGCCTCAGCAACTTAGGCCCTAAAATTTCAGTGAGTCCCTGTTTCTAAATAAAATATTAAAAAGGGCTGGGGATGTGGCTCAGTGGCCGAATGTTCCTGGGTTCAATCCCTGGTACCAAACAACAAAAAACCCAAAACAAAAACAACAAACCAGAGTGAAGATTAGCAGAGAGCTTATCACTTTGTAAAATGAATGGGTTTATTTGATATTCTAGAGCCCATGCATCTTATCTATTTTCCAAATTGTGAAGGTGTATCTAATGGCAATACTATTTTGTTAGCAATATTCCTAGCTCCTAGAACAGTACCTGGATTACAGTAGACAATTGTTGAATGAAGAAATAGTTCTATTTTTTTCTTTGGTTAACACATTTGCCCAACCTTAGTGAGAAGAGGTAACTCTTCAAAGGGAGAGCCCATTGAATCTAGTATGTGATGGAGAGAGCTAGCTAAAAAATTGTTTTCATTCACTATTTGGTGAATGATCCTACCTTCTAGGAAGTGAAAGAAATTGAGTTTAGACTATGGCAACCTTAATTTGGATGAGAGGGATTTGAATTTGTCCCATGTTTTAGCATTTCTTGGTTTTGACTTGATGAACGAACTCTATGAAGTTGTGTGCCTTTGCAGAAATTACTGTGAAGTTCCTTTAGACTTGATTCTGACTAATTGCCTGCCTGCCTCTTTCCTGGGGATTGAACCAGGGCCTCACATATGCCAAGCAAGCACTCTTCTCTGAGTACATTCCTAGACCTTTTAAAATACTTTTTATTTTGACCAGGCAGATCTCCAACTTGAGATCCTGTTCCTCAATCTCTCAAGTAGCTGAGGCATGTAGAACCCCTGCCCAATTTTGAACCTCTTTCTGAAGGTTCTAGACTGTTAAATGTTTTTTCTGAATATGATAGTTTTTGTGT